TAAATACTGAAACACTCATGTATATATATATATACATATACTATTATTAAATGTGCAAAGAGTTTCAGTGTTTCAGTATTTATTTATTAATATAAAAATATTTATTAATTGATAAAAGAGTTTTTATTAAACAAGGATATATTTAAAGAAAATAAAATAATTTTTATAAAACTGTATCACAAATTACCTATTTTATTTTTTATAAAACTGTACCTATTTTATTTTCTATAAAACTCTATCACATATAACCTATATATATATATATATATATATATATATATATATATTAGATCAGGCTTGTGGTGTGCATATTTTTTCTTCTCTCTTTATAATTGGTCTCGTAAGCTTTTTCTTTACTTTTTCTTTTTATAAGCGTTGTTATTATGTTATTTTACGTTTGCTTTATTATTATTTTTTCTTTCTAATCGATGTTTAGAAATAGTTGTTTTGTTTTATTTTTATTTTTTCTTTCTAATTGATGTTTCTAATAAATGTTTAGAGGTGGTTGCTTTTTTTTCTTCATTTTTTTATTTTATTATTTTTGGTTCATTCTTAATTTATTATTATTTTGAGTCATTATTGTTATTTTTTTTTTCTTATTAAGAAATATCATTCTTCTTTTTTCTTTAGTTTTTATTTTTATTTTACTCTTTGTAAGTTTAATTTGGATGGTTCAAAATTTGTTATCCTTAATTTGTTCTATTGAGAAGGTTGGATTGTTATTATTATTTTTTTTTTTTACTTTTCCTTTTTAGAAGCATTATTAGTATTTTTTCTCTAGTTTTATTTTTATTTTTCTCTTTCTAATTAATGTTTAGAAGTAGTTGATTTGTTTTATTAAAATTTTCTCTTTCTAATTGATGTTTAGAAGTAATTGATTTGGTAAGTTTACTTTGGATTGTGAATTTTTTTCTTTTATTTTATTATTTTTTATTTTTGGTTCATTCATAATTTATTGTTATTTTCGGTCATTATTGTTATTTATTTTCTTTACTTTTTATTTTTCAAAAGTATCATTATTCTTTTTTTTTTTTTAGTTTTATTTTTATTTTACTCTTAGTTTTACTTTGGATTGTAATTTTTTTTCTCCATTTTTTATTTTTGGTTCATTCTTTATATATTATTTTGAGTCGGGTTTCAATGCTTTTTGACTTTCGGTTGTACTTGATTTTGAATTGAATTTGTTGCTTAAAATTTTTTCTATGTTACTTTTTTCAATTTTTATTTTCGGTTCATTCTTAATATATTATTTTGAGTAGGGTTTTAATATTTATTGATTTTCGATTGGACTTAATTTTGAATTGATTTTGAATTACGTATTTATCTAATTATTATGATCTTTTTAATAAAGAAAATAAAATTACACAATAATTATTAATATAAAAAATATTAATTAATTGATATAAAAAATAAAATAATTTCTCTAAAACTCTACCACAAATTACCATTTATTTTGAGTTTTTTAATAAAAGAAAATCTAATTAGACAAGGATATATTTAAAGAAAATAAAATAATTTCTTTAAAATTCTACCACAAATTAATTACCTATTTTATTTTCAATAAAACTCTATCACATTATACAATAATATATTTAAAAAATTTTCTATAAAACTCTAACACAAATTACCTATTTATCTATTTATTATGAGTTTTTTAAGAAAAAAAATGTAATTAGACACGAATTATTAATATAAAAAAATATTTATTAATTGATATAAAAAGAGTTTTTAAAAGAGTTTCAATCAAACTCTAACACAACTTACCTATTTATCTATTTATTATGAGTTTTTTTTAATAAAGGAAAATCTAATTATACAAGAATTATTAATATAAAAAATATTTATTGTTTGATATAAAAAAAAATAATTTCTCTTAAATTCTACAACAAATTACCAATTATTAATTTTTAATAGAAGAAAATCTAATTAGACAAAGATATATTTAAAGAAAATAAAATAGTTTATATATAAGTCAACCAAAAATTACCTATTTTATTTTCAAAAAAATTCTATCACATTAGACATGGATATATTTTAAGAGTTTCTATAAACCACAACAAAAAATTAACTATTTATTTATTTATTATGAGTTCTTTAAGGAAAAAAATGTAACTAGATAAGAATTTAATAAAAAAAATATTTAAATTAGCATTTATTATGAGTTTTTTAATAAAATAAAATCTAATTAAACAAGGATATATTTTTTTAAAAAAAATTAAAACTCTACCACAAATTACCTATTTTATTTTCAATAAAACTCTATCATATTATTCAATGATATATTTAAAGAATTTTTATAAAACTCTAACACAAATTACCTTTATATTTATTTATTATTAGTTTATTAAGAAAAAAAAAATGTAATTAGACAAGAATTATTAATATAAAAAAATATTTATTAATTGATATAAAAAAAGTTTTTAAAAAAGTTTCAATCAAACTCTAACACAAATTACCTATTTATCTATTTATTATGAATTTTTTAATAAAGAAAAATCTAATTAGACAAGAATTATTAATATAAAAAATATTTATTATTTGATATAAAAAACAAAATAATTTCTCTAAGACTCTACTACAAATTTTAAATTATTATGAATTTTTTAATAGAAGAAAATCTAATTAGACAAAGATATATTTAAATAAAATAAAATAGTTTATATAAAATTTAACCACAAATTACCTATTTTATTTTCAATAAAACTATTACATTACACAAGGATATATTTTAAGAGTTTCTATAAAACTCTAACATAAATTATCTATTTATCTATTTATTATAAGTTTTTTAAGGAAAAAATGTAATTAGACATGAATTATCAATATAAAAAAATATTTATTAATTGATATAAAAATAGTTTTTAAAGGAGTTTCTATAAAGCTCTAACACAAATTACCTATTCATCTATTTATTATGAGTTCTTAATAAAAGGAAATCTAATTAGATAAGAATTATTAATATAAAAAATATTTATTAATTGATATAAAAAATTAAATAATTTTTTCTAAAACTCTAACGCAAATTACCTTTTATTATGAGTTTTTTAATAAAAGGAAATCTAATTTGACAAGAATTATTAATTTAAAACATATTTGTTAATTGATTTAAAAAGAATTTTTAAAAGAATTTCTATAAAATTCTAACACGTATGACCTATTTATCTATTTATTATGAGTTTTTATGATAAAAGGAAATATAATTAGACAAAAATATATTTGAAGAAAGTAAAATAAATTCTATAAATTCAACACAAATTAGCTATTTTATTCTCTATAAAATTATATCACATTAATTTATTTATTATGAGTTTTTTAATAAAATTAAATCTAATTAGACAATAATATAAAATCAATCACAATAAAATATTTATTAATGGATATAAAAAGAATTGTTATTTTTTATAGATAATTATCTCAATATAACCGGCCCGGCCCATTCAGTATTTTAGTATTTATTTATTTGTATAAAAAATATTTATTAATTGATATAAAAATAGTTTCTATAAAACAATAAAAATTACCTAATAAAATCAATCACAATAAAATAATTATTAATTGATATAAAAAGAATAGTTATTTTTTATAAATAATTATTACAATATAACCGACCCGGCCCAGTTATGATTATATTATTATCAAGAGAGGACACATGTCATCATTCTATTAATCGAAAAAGCTCTGCCGAAGAGTTTTCAGTATTTATTTATTTATATATAAAAAATATTTATTAATTGATATAAAAAGAGTTTTTATCTATACTATTATTATATATGTGCAAAGAATTTCAGTGTTTTAATATTTGTTTATTTATATAAAAAATATTTATTAATCGATATGAAAAGAGTTTATATATATATATACATAAACTTTATAAAACTGTAAAATCTACCTAATAAAATTCAAATTAATCTATTTATCTATTTATTATTATGAATTTTTTAAAGGAAATCAAATTAGATAAGAATTATTAATATAAAAAATATTTATTAATTGATATAAAAAAATTAAATCATATTTCTAAAACTCTATGACAAGTTACCTTCAATTATGACTTTTTTAATAAAAGGAAATCTAATTAGACAATGATTATTAATATAAAAAATACTCTATAAAACTTTACCACAAATTAGCTATTTTAATTTCTTTTAGTATTTCAGTATTTATTTATTAATATAAAAATATTTATTAATTGATATAAAACGAATTAAAATAAAATAGTTTCAAATCATTATTAAAACAACTAAAAAATAGATAAAATAAATAATTATTTAATAAAATAATTTACCAAATAATAAAATAAGTTACAAAACATTTATCAGGTGTATCGCACGTGCCTTTTCCTAGTGTGTGTGTATATATATATATATATATTAACTTAAAAGATAAGATTCAAATTAGATAGTTAAATTAATGTCGATCCATATTGTATCTTATTTATATTTGAACCCAATTTGAATCTTAAGAAATCTTTTAAGAAAATTCATATTTGACTCCTTTAATATAACTTTATTACAAATCAAACTCGAAAGAAATGAATTTAAAATGAGATCATGTCTCAACCATAGTTAGTAAAATACGGTACGGAAAAAATACGAGTACGGAAATTTACAAGTATAATTCAATATTTTTTAAAAAATACATTTAAAAAATTCGGCAAAAAAATATGAAAACGTAAAAATATGAATACGGATACGTACGTGTATAATACGTTATATACACTAGAAATTCGGGATCAAAAATTCGGCTATACATCTTATTATTTTCTTATATATCATATATTTGTAAGGATAATAAATAATATGTAACAAATAATAAAATAAATATATTACAATTGACACTATCACAATAATCATAAAAATAAAAAATAAACTATCTAAATATAATGAAGCAATAACCATGTGACCATAACATGATCAATTTCATCACAAAATTAATGAAAAAATTCTAATTCAAATAATCAACTATGTTACCCAAAATAAAAATAAAAAATTGTTCTAAATTTAGATAACACCATCTAACCAAGAGAGATCTTCATTATTGGTGACTATATCACTAGAAACGTCATCTGTTGGCTCTAAGGAATAATCCTCCAATTCTTCATGATCAACATATTCAAGATCGTCACTAAGTTTGTCAAGATTAATTGGCTCGAAATCTTGTGCTTCGAGTGTCTTGAATTTTAACATCATCATTGTGTTCATCCTTACGTATACAAGATTGTCCAACATTATAGGTGCCAACCTATTCCTTTTCTTTATTTGCGCAGCTTCCCAAGCACTCCAATTTCGCTCACATGAAGAAGAACTGCAAGGCTGACTTAATCTACGAATGACATACTTTTGTAGCACAGGAAGACAATCCCCACAATAATCCCACCAAACTCCTACACATAATAAAAATAATAATAATAATAATAAACTAAATATATAAAGCTTATTATAATTTTAACAAGATATTTTAAAAAATAAAAATAAAAACTTACGAGGATCAGATGTTTTCAACATTGTCTTTGTTGTATTTGTGAATAAAGTTGTGGTCTTCATATGGTAAAATTGTAGTTCTCGAATAAAATCTTCCTTTTCTTCTTCAATAATAAAATTTCCTAACATAAAATCTATACCGTCTTTCATTTCACGATTTTCTCTGAAGTCCTCACTACACATGAAGGCAGGATTTAAAAATGCAGCAGGTGCATGTATTGGGTGGATTACATTTTCAATTCTCCGTTTTTTAAATAACTCCCATATCTGCATGTAATTAGCTTGATTAATACAACAACGTTGTTTAATAGTTTCTTTTGCCCTTTCCATCGCCTCATACAAATATCCTGCAGTTGAACCATCTCCATCAACCAAACGAAGAACACTAACTAAAGGCTCCAGAGTTTGTATTATTTCTTTCTCTTTACTCCAAAACTCAACACTTTGAATAATACTAGCAACCTTTAGTCCCATCCCTCTTTTGTTGTAATCCAACCCCCTCCATTCAGAAGATGCCACAAGTAATCGCAATCCATCTTCAACTTCTAAAATTGATTGAACCATCAAAAAATTGGAGGCAAATCTAGTTGCACAAGGATGTTTGAGTTCTTTATGATTTGTGTGATCTCTCATTAATGACAAAATAATAGTGTGCTTGTACAAATATGTCACAATTAATTTTGCATTATCAATAATATCATGTATCCACAAAACTTCAGAATAAATATCTTTCAATAGTAGTTGAATCCCATGAGCAGCACATCGTGTTTTACACATACAAGGGTAATTACCAATAAGCATGTCACCAGTTGATTCAAAATTTGATGCATTATCAGTAATGAACTGTACAACATGATTAGGTCCAATATCTTCAATTACTGATGACATAATATCTTTTAGATAAACACCTATTTTTTTATCCTTTGAAATTTCAAATGAATTCATAAATACTGCCCCATCAGGTGAATATGCAATTATGTTAATAAAGGCACGTTGCTTCATATCACTCCATATATCTGACATTAGTGTGCAACCTGTAGCAACCCAAGTTTTCTTCACATTCCCAATGTATGCCTCTACTTCTGTCTTAGAATCTGGTATTAGCTTTGTGCGTAAAGTTGAGTAATATGTTGACCCAAATTCAACAACACTTATCACAAAATCAATAAAAGATTGAGTCTGAACCATATTAAATGAAATATTATTCAAAATAATGTGCTTGGCAAGTTTTTTATCCACCTCACTCTTATCCATCTTCTTAATTGTTTCTGGCATGGTAGATTGTTGTAAGCCCATTGAAGGTGCAGAGGAAAAATTAACAGACCCACCTTGCTCAACATCAATTGGAGTAACTGTAGTCTTAATTTTTTTGTTCGAACCACCAATTGCTAAAAATGCAGCTGCTTGAACCTCTTGAGGTACTTTTAAACAAATTTCAATGTCTTTACCTTTTACCCCAGATAAGTGTGATTTGACTCTTGAAATACCTCCAGGATAGTTTAAGTTACAATACTTACACATGAAATGACCTTGTAATTGTTCAACATGATCCCAAAATGCATCCCTCTTTTTTCCCATCTTTCCTTAATAGCCTATATATTTATAATAAATTCATAAGTATATAATGTGATACTTTACTAAAACATCTAGGGAATGTGGTGATTTACAAACTTCTAAAATAATAACAATAAAGATACAAACAAAATTTAAAAGATCTCACAACAAAACAAAAAATCTATAAATATCTACAAATATCAATAAAAACTTATAATTCTTCAAGATTATAGTATTCCACAAGTGTATATATATATTTCATTACTTTGATTAAAGATCATACAATGGAGTGACAACAATAAGAGATTAAAAAAAAGGAAAAGAAAAGAAAGTGATACCTTGAATGTAGAACAACCGAGTGAGAGAATGGTCACAACCTTCCCCAAGATTGCACAATAAATAACATTATTTTGATAGCGCGAAAGATAATGGTTATACAAGCAAAAAAGGGTAGAAAAGACGGTAATTTGTATTTCAGAAAAATAGGCTATTAGAAACGTGAAGTTTGTGAACGAAAAGAAAATAAAATAATTAGGTTACGAATTAAACAGAGCGACTAAAACGAATAAACGAATAAACGTGTTAGATTCGGGGTGATGGAAAAAAATGCGTATTTTACCGTATCTTTTAACTCTAATCAGCAAACGGAAGTATTTTCCCAAAATTCGTACATACGCGTTTTATTCGTGTATCATGCGCGAATTAACTAACTAGGGTCTCAACCAAAATGGATTTTATTTTATTTTTATCAGACCAAAATGGATTTTTTTCCCCCTCCAAAATGGATTTACTAGTGAACAAGTATTGAAATCCATGTAACTCCATGTACAAAAAATGCAATACCCTCCTGAAAAAAAGGAATTGAATTGGTCTTCTTTACAAGTATTTGGATTCTCTCATTTACCACATCCGTCCTGATGTGCACAATTAAATCAAGGAAATCAACAATGTAATATGCTATATTAGATATATAACACTCATTCAGTGCATTTATATCCAATGTGTAACATTCATACAATATGGTACGAGTTTGTTTGGGATTTACTTTTCATCTACTTAAGCGTCTTTATTTTGAAAAAATTGTACTTTGCCCTTTTTTTATTTTTTATATACAAATTTTAGCTTAGTAAAGTTTTTTAACGAAACGTTAAAATTATAAGGGTCAAGTGCAGAAAATACTCCTAATATATTCTTTGCGTAACACTTTCACTCCCTATTTGAAAAAGTGTATTAAAAACATCTCTATTGTGATACCCCCGGATTTCCGGATGCGGGTTGGCCAGGCTCACGCCCGATTACCCTAGGATATCAGACCAATTAGTAATAAATGAACACAGAATACAATTAAGATAAACAGGAATAAATAAAAATGGCTGAAAAGAAACTCGAACGATAATCCAGAATTGAAACCTCAGAATAAAATTTTATAGATAAAGAATTATTCTGATACATCCAACTTTTCCATTTTTAATACAACTCGGGAATCCATCTGGTGGACCCCTAATAAACTTCAACACTGAAAAATAACAAAATAGACAAAATGAAGCTGATTTAATTTTATCAGCCAATGATATCCCAACCAGAATCCTGACTCTTTTGTAGAATCAGTAATCTCTCATCTAGATCCGTGGAAACTACTCTGTCAGTCCCGCTCTAGCATGAGAAGTGGCTGCAAGGATCTAATGATCTCTGACGGTCCATCTAGATTATTTACCAAACATCAGACTTTGAGACAGATATTAGATGTTTGGTCTTATCTTCAAGTCTTTGACATCTTACTTTTCTAACACAATTAAGTGTCTATTAGACATCCCGTTTAACTGCAACCGCATATGGAAATCTTTTCATCCTCCAAATAGTCAAAACATTTCGAGCAACAACTACTTGTTGCGAATGGTAACCTAAAAAAATTTCCATATTGTTTGTGCAAATGAGTGACTCTGCCTCCTCCTTGATATGCATCGCCAGCACCTCCTCCTAATGACACCCCCTGATGAGAATAAAATTCTTGATTAAGAATTGACTGATGACTAGTAAATTCGTCTACTAACCTCAGCCGGTGTCATTCCAACAAGTACTTAAACCAGTACCAAAATCCTCTTACTGACTTAGGAACACCTGTTTAAAATATTCCTAGAAGATATTCAGCCAAGCTAGTTCCTTCGATAAACCAGCATGACGTTACAGCTTATCCAATGAATCTATATCATTTGACTCAAAACTGCTGGTTTTTCTTATCCCATCCTGAACACCTACTACAACCACGCATGTCTAGGTTCATTTGATTGACTAAAGTTAGATATACTAACCAAATCTTATGATCACATGCCTACAATCCTAGCGTAATTAACGTTATTCCTCCAAAATGGTAATTAACTGATACTTGACGAAAAAGAAACACATAAAGCACACACAATAAAACACAATAAACTCCTACGTAAAACATCGTTCCTCCTAGCAAAGAAAATCTCTTTTAGAAATCAACTTTACCCGATTAGTTCACAATCTCCTTTCTACAGTTTCGGAGGTAATCACCCAACCTTGAAACATAGCTCAAAACCAACTCCATTTGCCTCAGCAAATGCCAAAGGCTTAACCTTCATCCTCCTTATACACAGGATACAAACCATCTAATGTGGCTGTATAAAGCAACTTAGATCGTCAAAACCTAATCCCCATACTCCCCGGAACGTGCTATATAATCTTTGCTTCGTTCTGAGAAGAACTTCATCCGATTCCCAAACCCCTGAAGAGTTCCCTTTATCTACCTCATTTAAAGGTAATACACAAGGTTAACTATCCACCTCAACTCTATGAGTATCGTTCACTATACTATTAGCGAACAAGATCACTTTCACGTGATCCTTGATTTTCAACATTTAATACCCTCTTTCTTGGGTATGTTGAAATCTCCTCCACTAGAATCCTATTTGGACTCCTATTCCTCGGTTGTCTCCTTTATCAGAACAACTAAAATTGTGTTAGTTCCTTTATACGGGGACCTAAAACACACTCCTATATCCCTCATTGGCTTATACTTCTAAAAGTAGTGCCAACCGGAACTAAACCTTAAATCCCAAGTTCTGCTTCTGATAGAGAACTCGATAACATATTCCTCTACTCCTTCGGTCTGATTTGCTGTCGCCGCAGACCCCATCCTCCTTCTAGTGTCAACCATTCCATAATTATGGAATATAATTGACATCAGGAGCTCCTTCTAATGAATCGTAAAAAAGTACAACGAATCCTAATATGGCTCTAAGTTTTTAAGAGACGCAACGTGGAAGACTTCTAACAAAAGACACTCCTAAGGACACTAGAACCTGGAGTGCTCTGATACCAACTGTGATACCCCTCGATTCTAGAGCCACGGGTGATCAAGTCCGAGCACAGATCCGAGGGATATCAGACAATTAATATGTAAACAAGCAGGAATAAAATTTGAATTAAGAATAAAATATCAAAACGCTGAAAGAATTCTAAAATAAAAATCCTCAATTTAAAATAATAAATTAATAACATTTAAATCCTTCAAATCTGTACAACTCGAGAATCCATCTAGTGGACCCCTAATAATTCCAACTGGTAAAACATTTATAGAATTAAAATCCAAAACCAAAATAAGAAAGAAAATCCTATGTAGTCGGAAGAGTGAGTGACTGTATCTGCATCACCACGATCAAACCCTAAGCCTGGTACTCACGAACACCTGAAAAATAAAGGTGTGTCAGGCCCACATGCAAGTTCCATCCTACTACAATCCGTACATAAACCCGATACGCAGATACATCCTAGATAGCTCGGCAATATCTATAATAATCCATAGATATATAAATACATAGTATAGGATGCTCACTAGCCTATAACATAGTTCAGCCTGGGTAGAAGGTGACATATAAAACACGCTTTCCAGCGGCCAAGTACCTAGACCTACCAGGGAACATTAGCTATATCCAGCTACTCAACCTTTGCGATATACGCACCCTAACCGTGATCAGGAGACTCAAGCTCGTATCACGGTACCATAAATATATATATAAATTCTTTCCTAATGCAGAAAGATAAAACAAACATCCGTTATGTCGTTCAACTGTTTTAGTTGACAGGACATGCATCCATGTAGGATTTAACTATTTTAGTTAATCCATTCCGTATGTATGAAGGGGTAGGACTTAGCTTTTTGATCTAATCCATCCCTGATATGTCACCGTCCTATACCGGTACATATAATGCAAATGATCCGTAAACGATGCACATTCATTAGAACATCAAATATATCCAGAAACCAGCATAATAGAAATCCGATATTTTTAAGATCCTATCATGCAACCAGTATATGATTAGAATCATAAATCCTCCAAATAAACTGTTAAAGTACTGATAAACAATTTATATTATTCATATCCATACAGTTAATAAACAGCAATTGAAATAGTTCATCAATTAACATCTATAGCACGGTATAATGATTGTCAGAAGTAAAACCGGAGCACATTATGCTAGCATTCCCAAACCATCCTTTTCCATACTAGTTCATTACTATAACAAAGGTTAGTAACTAACTTCTCCTTAATCCTTAACGGCGTGTAAATTAGTAACTACATCATATGACGTCTATTTAATCCTCCATCTATAAACCTGTGCATGATCTTATGACACGCAGAAGTCCAATCCGCACCGTAAATAAAACCCTAATGGTGTTTCATATTACTCCAATTTAAATGGTAAAGCACAACCGGCACGTAACACCTCCTCAACTTTTGACAGCATGTGACTTAGGATTTAAAGCTCAAGCTATCTATAACCAGATCCTAGACCAACATTTCCAGCCTTCATTAAGTTGTATATATAATTGATACACCATTCCTCACATAATTCCTTAGCAGTCCGTTTAAGTTCGCTAACATAAACTAGCAAATTAAACTCTCTTCCACAGCATGCCAATACAAAGTTTATGTTTCATGAATCCTCCAAAGATTATTACACTATTATATATTAATTATTTTTAGAGGCTTATAGGTTAATTCTAATTATTTAGAACTCCCCTTCATTTTCCAGAAATTTCCTTTGGCCCCCTTAAGTCAGAAAGTCACTCAAAAACACCAGTAGGTGTTTTCCTTCAAGAGAGGCGGCTCCCCCATCATGGGAGCCGTCTCTAAAGCACCTAGAGCCGGCTCCCCTACATGGAGAGCCGGCTCTCTCTCCATGGGAGCCGGCTCCTTTTATTAAGGAGCCGGCTCTCTCCCTGGGAGCCTCCTCCCTCCTCCTCTGATCTTCCTCTCTGCTACTGGTGAACTCTAACCTTCAGTTCTGAATTTTTTAAAAAAGTTTCATGATTCAATCAGAGTCTAAACAGCCTTAGGAACCCCTCATATTCAAGTGTAAACCAATTGACAAAAATCGAAACCAAACACAACATAGTTTATGCAAGAAACAGGTTTCAGTTTTTTTAGACACAACAAAATTTACAGTCTGATAATCTGGTATCAAATTTCCTTTTTTAAGTTTCCAGTGCTCAATTATAGTCTAAACCATCCTAGAAACTCCTTGGATTCCTTACGAATTAATTTATAGAAGTTTAAAACCCTAATCAACATAGTTTTATGCAAGAACCAATTTCAGTGTTTTAAACCATAAACAGATTCTGATACGTTATGCGTCAACCATTAATTTTAAAATTTGAATTAGTCCCTGGAGACTAAAAAGAATGCACAGAACACAAGTTTACAGGAAAGAGATAGACTGAAACTTGCCTCTAGGTTTCAGTTTGAAACCTTCAACCTTCGTCTGCAAATTCCGGCAAACTTAACACATTCCCTTCCTTCTTTGGTCACTGCCCCTTTTTCCTCTGTTTTGCCTTCTCAAAACTAATACGTGCATACGGTTTTCTAACCCTAGCAGACTTATTTTGTTCAATATATATAGGCCTTCATTCTATATTTAACCTACTTTTAATTTCGACTAATTTACAAGTCGGCTAAATACTATCCATAAAAAAAAACCCTAACCCTAATCTATATCCACGACCATTTAAAATATAAACCAAATGAGTCACCCAAGCATAACTGTAAATAAAGCAAACAAAAATTAAATAAACAATTGACAAATAAATTATATAAACTATCCAAAAATACACGTTAATTAAATCATACTAATAAAATAATTAAATTAAATCACACATAAACAATTCAACAATTAAATTAAATACACATAAATAGTAATTTAAGCAATTTAAATTAAATACACACAACTAATAATTAAGCAACTAAGCAAATACACATAAAATAAAATTCCCCAAATAAAATAATCAATTCAAACAACTAAGTCATATAATCAAATAAAAATAAAATAAAAACCAAAATGCAAAATTAAATTCCCATTTTGTCCTTTTGAAAACTAGGGGTATTACAGGTATTACATTTATTCTTTTAAAATTGTGCAAAAACACTCCTTAAACAGAAATCTGATATAAAGTAATGATGTAATATCCGTTTAACCTTTTTACTTTTTAAAAAATGCCTAAAGGGGTGTGTATGCTAATAATCTTATAGTATAGGGGTGTTATGTGTACATTAACTATATTTAACCCACTCTTGGGCTTCGTTTGGATTGAGGGATTTTGAGAGAAAAGAAAGGGAATGATAGTGATGAGTGTGTTTGGATGGGAGGAATATGAGAGAAAAGAAAGGATTTGGAGAGATTTGGAGGGATAACAATCATTCCAAATCCCTTATTTGGAATCCCTCCAAAATTGATAAGATTTGGAGGGATTTGGAGAGAAATTGAGTAAATTACCAAAGCAACCTTGAGAGAAGGGGCAAGTTTAGTTGGAGAAAGGGTAAAATGGTAAATTATTCATTCATTTATTTTCTTTTCTATCTATCCAAATAAGAATATTACTCGTTCCTTTCTTTTCTCTCCTACCATCCAAACATGAATATTATTATATCTATCTTTTCTTTTCTTTTCTTTTATAATCATTTCTTTTCTTTTCTCTCCTGTGTATCCAAACGAAGCCTTAAGGATTTTCTCTCACCTTTTCATAAAATAAAAAAAATATCTCTATATATTTCCGCTAACAGTATATTATCTCTTTTAAAAGAAATTTTTTTTTTTTGTAGTCACAGTTGTCATATTAATATACAATGTATTATATGGAATGAAAACTTTAGTTCCTTTTATAATTATAAAAAAATCAATTAAATTTAACATAGTTATTAGTTTCCATTATATATTTAATTAAAAAATTGAATTAAAGATACTTATTCATTATATATAAACAATATACATTTAATTTTTTAAACTTTATAATTTGAAATAAATTTTCACAAATATATATATATATATAGCAACAAATGAGTATTCAATCTTTATTGTGAAAAAAAAAAGGTGTTCAATCACCTACAATCATCATACTATTCAAATTGTGATAAAATTACATTCTCAATTAAATCTAATCGTTAAGATCAAAAGATTCAAAACAACAATAGTTTATAAAGTGCAAAAAATACCCCTATCATTTCATAAAATGATGCATTTTTAAATAATATGTAAAATGTGTATATAAAGGCAATTTAGTCAAACTATAATTTAAATGTATCAAGAGAGATCTATTTGCATCAAATTGAAACTTTAAGGGTGAGGTGTTGTATGGGTGACCCCCTGAAAGTCTCTGGTCCGGGAAAGCCAAAAGTTGACAATATTGTGTTTGGTTAGGGCGAGGGTCATTACAAATGATATCAGAGCTTGACCTAACCAGAAGTGTGGTCAACGTGGACGTTGGGCCTGAAAAGGGGGTGATTATGACGACCTTGTGGGTGAGTGTGTGTGAGCGTATGCAGGTGGCTGGTACCAGTAAGCTATCACACTGGACGAGCTACATGTGCATAATCCCACATCGTTTGGGTGTGGATAGGGCAAGTGCTATATGTAGATTCAATACCTTTTTATGACATAAAGTGTTTTAAAGCTGTGATGGCCATAAATCTACCAGAATTTCGGAGTTAAGCGTGCTTAATTTGGGGTAATCCCCTAGAAGTCTTTCATTTGGGGAAGCCAAAGTAGTATCAAGATGGGTGATCCCCTAAAAATCCTTTGATCCGAGAAAATAAAAAACGAATATTATTTTTGACTAAAGTAAGGGTTGTTATAGATATTTTTTTTTTTTTGCATACAAAAGGTGTAATAGTTAGCTTACTATTTAAAAGTGTTTTCTACACCCCCACCTCTAATTATTTGGATAGAGGTTATACTTCATATTTTAAGTAATTATTTTTGGCTTTATATTTATAAAGACCGTTTCATTCTCTCTTTTATGAAAAGGGGTAAGAGTAATATTGCCTAGGTCATTATCCTTTCTTTTATAAAAAATGATGAGACTTTATGAGTAATATTACTAAGGTACATCAATATTACATTCTTCCTTATAAAGTAATGCTATCATCAAGTACAGTAAACTCTATTAAAAGATATGATTGTAAAATAGTAATAAAATTACTTTAAATAATATTATTACTAAACAAATTAAAAAATACTTTATACAATGAATCACCAAATATTAATAATAATTTTATAACAATTCTGCTCATAAAAGTACACTTTTCACTGTTACAGTAACCTCAAATAGGCACTACATGATGTTGCTACAACATCACATAGAAAATGTTAGGTGATTTAAAATTGTTACATTAACTAATTTAAAGATGTTGGGTTATAATTACTAGCAAATTGAATTTTTTTTAAAAAATAAATTTAAAAATAAAATATAAAAAAGGAAAGTAATAGCTGGTTTTGCGTCATCCACGTCACAATTAGAATCTCCGTACGTCCTTTCTGGGCATGGCAATCTCGTTATTAAATCACAATTGAGGTCCTACTTCTCTTGGATCCTTTCCCTGTTGGATATTTAAAGGAGTTATATATCTATATAGAGAGACAGAGACAGAGACAGAGGGAGAGAGAGAGCAATAACTTGTGTGATCGTTTGGAGAGAGAGAAAAAAACACAGAGAGTGCAAAAATGGCTGAAGGACAAGTGATCAGTTGCCACACTGTTGCTGCATGGGATGAACAACTCCAGAAGGCCAATGAGACGAAGAAATTGGTACTTTTTTTTTCTTATTTTTTTTTTATGGTACCTCCTCTTTTTATTTATTTATTTTTTTATAATAACTTTATATTATTTTTGAATAATGTGGATTTGGTAATTTTTTGGTGTTTTAAATCATGGGTTTTGTAGTTGGTCTGGATTTGCATACTGGGTATGAGTTTATGACTTTTATCGGATTTGATTTGATTTGATTTGATTTGGTTTGGTTGATGTGTCACTTGAGAATTGAGATGTGATGGTTTTTTTTATTTTTTTTTGGAATTGAGATGTGATGGTTGTTCTGGTTTATTGATTAGATTTCTGTTTCAATTTTATATGCTTTAATGGACTCCACATTGATCATTGGACATTGGATTTGCTTTCAATTTGTTTTTGATTTACCTCAAATTTTCTTTGTTGAAATGAAAATGTTTTGTTTTGGTATTTGGAGTTCAAATTTTGAATGGCAATATCATGGAACTTTGATTAATTGGGTTGTTTTTATGCAAAGTTGTAATCTGAAAGTTGAGATAATAATGTAGGGGTGTGCATTTGATCAAAGCTTTGGTGCGTGCATTTGCTCGAACTTCCGGAACGAAAACAAAAAAATTAAAAATAAAATTGACAGTTCTAATTGCTAAAACTAGGGCAAAAGGACTGACACATCATTAGTCGTCCGGGTGATATAACCTCTAGAGAAAATCTTCTTTGTGCTCGACGATTATGTCATCAATTAATTATATTTTGTCACATAAGTAACAATACATCTATTTTAGTGAGTCCTATCACTAGCGCCGGTGTAGTAACAATACATCTATTTTAGTGAGTCCTATTACTAGTGCTAGTGTAGTGTTTAATTAGTAGGTGATGCCATGTCATCAGTATTCCTGACACATTTTATAATTCTCTTATTTTAACAACACCACACCGAATAATAAGTGTTGAACATGCCAATCCTTCTGAAATGTTGCGAGGGTATGGTCCCGACCCTTCACTTCCCGAAATTCAAACTTGGCATAAAAAAGAATACAACATCAACTGCAAACGATGGTGTAATGTTCCTTTTAATTTCGATGACTTTTCTGAATTTTGTATTTAATGTCTTCTAATATAGTGGGGTTACCAGGGTAGTATAGTACAAACCTTTGCTTTCCTAGTGAGATATAGCGATTTACCATAATATTTTATTTTATTCGAGTTTGGATTTTAAGGAACATGTGCTATGTAGGGTAAGGTAACCCTCCTTCCAATGAAAGATAGATTTAATCAGATATGTCTATCATAACTACCTAGAAAATTCACTATAAAACTAAGGGCATGTTTTAGTTCATCGAAAACAATTCTTTAGAACTTAATAAAACAGAAAACTGTTTTCAAAGAACTATAAAATATTGTTATTTGAAAATATGTCTTTTTTAATTGAGTAAACAAAATTGCCAATCAGACAATTTTCTACTAGTTTCGGATTTTCTGTTTCCAGAAAACAAATTTTTTTTCTCAATTCTGAATGAAACAAGCCATAACTGTTTGTTGTGATTTATCACTATGAGCCCCATCAGCAAATTATTTTCTTTCTTTCTTTATGAATTGAGCATGGTATTAGGTCGTATAAACTTTGACTTAATGATTTATTTAACTCGAAGTTATTACGAGCTTGACTCGTGGTACATGCACACACTTGTGTTTGTTCACGAACTTATAATGTGAAATAATTCATATGGTAGAGAAGCAGTTCCACCCATCTTTTACAAAGATAATTTTGATACCAACCCTTTTGAAATATCATTGGAGGGGATTAGGTTGTTGGGATGTGAGGGCAAATAGAGTAAAAAAATGGTAGATCTGTTACTCCTTCAAAAACATTCTTTTCTTTACGAAGTCAATTAGGGTACCTTTAGCTCAATTTGCTCATTCTACAAATTGTCGTAGTTTTCTTTAGTGTTGTGAAATTTGATATATTGACTGCTACATTTGTCAGCTATAATGGACATGACCTTAGAAGTTGTATAAGTACATTGTACTGATATTGGAGAACTAAATTTTATTGTTTATTTCAATTGACCTTTGGAATTTCTTTAATTTTTTTACCACTTCCTTGGTGCTAATGAAGGTTAGAAGCATCAAACATGAAGGTAAGGAATTAATATCTAATATCGAAACTAAATTAGCTAAACAACTGTGTTTTGTATATTACGAGCATACATTAATGCATTGTGGATTGAGGAGAAAGCTAGTGTATTGGCTTTGTCATGCAAAACTCTTATGGTTGTAGATGGTTAGCGATTTCATGTTTTGTTATGTCCTTGGCATGTACTAATCCCTGTTATTAATGCAGATGGTGGTTGATTTCACTGCTTCATGGTGCGGGCCTTGCCGTTTCATTGCACCATTCCTGGGAGACTTGGCCAAGAAACTACCTACCGTTATGTTTGTTAAGGTGGATGTGGATGAACTGAAGGTAAAAAAACAATAATAAGAAAATCACAAAAAAAATGCATTCCTTTCATCCCTAATTCTCTCGTCAAATGTTCTTGCATTAGTGTTGGGAAATCCATGGTGAAATTCCGTGTAAAATATTCATGGTTGTTTTTCTTGTTGCAGTCTGTTGCTACTGACTGGGCTGTGGAGGCAATGCCAACTTTCATGTTCCTGAAAGAAGGGAAGATTGTGGACAAAGTTGTGGGAGCTAAGAAAGATGAGCTGCAGCAGACTATTTCCAAGCACATGAATACGGCCGAATAAATTTATTTCTAGTTTGCTTTTATGGAGGCTATGGACCTTCTTTTATGCTTTAAACTGGATCTATGGTTTATGTACATTACAGACTCGTGCTTGATCTTGTGAGTTTCTTGTTCTATAAGATGCACAAGTACTTCTAAACCAGGTTTCAGTGGTTTATGTTGCTTTGTTTCTCAGTAAAAGTAAATCCTTTATGTGATCAAATATATAGAATTGCCTGTTTTGCTGTTGCATCTCTGAGAGAAAAAGTGAATGGTAGTGTTTAGAAACATTAGAATTTCATGGAACTACGTTTCCGGTTGCCCTATGATCTTGTGCAGTGTGCTTGGTGAAGAGGAAGCTGTAATAATATATCAGAAATCTTAGTAATGTGAAGTTCTTTTTACACTTCTCTTCCTGAAAAATTGTAGCCTGAGCAGGAATTCCAATTCTTAAGACATAAGCTCCTTTTATTTATCACAAAGAAATGCAACATTAGAGGAAGAAAGAGATGGGCATACTAGGATCCACTCCTAACATGAACCTAGTAAGGATTTGATTTCCCTTAAATTTTACAATCAATCAATCAATCAATCAAGTCATGCATCTTCCCTAACCTTCATTCGCGATTAAAAGGCCGGGACAGGGGCTTGAAATCCAAATGGAGAGCCTTCAATTCAGAACTTACAGAATTTACAAACTACCAGTTAAATTAGAAACTACCCATCTCCTGTAAAACACGGCCTTGGAATAATCTTCTGCCCAGAATTACAATTGAATTCATTAATCCTATAAACCTCCCAGTAATTTTCCCTTTATTCTCCTTTCCTTGCCTTTTTTTTTTTTTTTTTGCAGGTATGTTAAGTCAGATGGTCTAATTTTTGAGCACTTGTGTCACTCTTCACCTAATCAATCTCTGAATTTGGTTGAATGGTTGTGGAAGCCCTAGGGGGAACAAATGGCTTCAACTGATAACCGCTTTAACACATTCGGACATGGGTCTTGCCTGAAGTTACTGTTTGATATGGTCACGGAGCATCTCTGCTGCCCAATGCAGTTCTGTGAAAAACAACAAAAATCGAAAAGGTAAATAGAACACAATTAAAAGGTAAAAATTGTCTAGTACTTTGGTGAAGTTGTTAAAACATCGATGAGCACGATTAGTACCTTCTCTAATATGGCATATGATGCAGGAGAATGGCATGGTCCTTGCTGGAAACTCCCACAAGTCCCCAAAGGAGTTCCATAACTTGCAAATTTGATGGAAGAGATGGACTGGCCTGGACCACACTGCAGGTGAGCTTTGGCTTTGTGAAACTCCATTGGTTTTTCATGGCTTTCAGTGTGCCAATTCTTAATGGTTGAGTGATACTCAGTGACATCGGCACAAACACCGGTCACTGATCTTTTTACCAGAGAAATTCTTGTGGGATCCCCTCCAAGCTCTTCGAAAAGTACCAATAGATTTTGGCTCGACTTTAACCAGGAACGTGGCACATGGTACCTGAAAAGTTCATATTGTTAGTAAGTAGTCTCTAGACCAACCTCAATGTCATTATGCATTTTCAGTCTAAAATTCTAGGGTTGGTGCAAGATGGATTTCCATCCGAGGAGGGTTTACCATCGCTGGGTTGGTTGACCACAGCCAACTTGACACTTTGGAGGCCGAAATCTCCCAGAATAACTGCATCCATTGCAACTACCACTAGCATATGCAAGCCAATATCTTCCAATACTCTGTCCATTGATCCATACTTGACCTTTCCCCATACTCCCCATGTCCAAAGCCAATGGCTCGTCGCCTTCAGGTGCATTGAAATAAGCCTGCAGAGTTTCAAGACAAATTTACATTCGTAATGATAATGTATCATTTTCACTATGTGCTTAGATTGCATTTTCCAAATATTATTTATTTACTTTACCTTATGCCAGGTTAAGGGCTGCTGTTTTTGTGCAATCAACGAACCTTGCATCCAGTCAACGGAGGAAACAGCATTTGTAGAGACGAGATCCATGACCTCGCCTTTCAACCCAACCTGTTTGAAGAGGCACCAATGAGGGAAAACTTCTTTGAAAATCATTCAGAGAGAGAGAGAGAGACAGGTGAGAATTCTCAACCTGGTAAGTCCATTTTTGACGTGACAAGTCCCATTTTCCTTGGTCAAGTCCATGCAATGCAACTGGACCTAAAACTCCTGTCTCCCATGTCTCGAACTGTCCCCCAATATTCTTCAACGACAAACAGAAATACTAGGTCAGAAAATAAGCAATCTAACTACTAAAGATGTAAGATGTGTTTATAGTGCTATTGACTAAACTATACATTTGTAGCTTATTCAAAATATTAGATCAGTGGTGGAGGCCGATAATAAACCCTTCGTTTCTAGGGTATATTTGGCTGAAGCTGTACTTTACTCGGAGACTCTGGCCAACATTGTATTACCAGAGATAACTAGTATAGGGAAGCAATGAAAAAAAAAAATGGTAAAAGTAGGAGCTAGAGGGAACTAACTGGCAATCCAACAGCAACACTGAGCAGTGCAATTCGGTTAGGACCAGGCTGCAAGTTCACCTTTTCTGAAAATGTGAATCTCCTAGTTTTTCTTGTCCCAGATGCAGAACCTGTAACACAGATTAGCATTTCATGGCAATTCAGCTAGAATGGCAGCATGACTAGTCAGAAAATTTCAAAGTAGAAACTGGACAATATACCTGAAAGCTGTCCATTTATGAACACGTGCAGAGCATGGCCTCTTGATTGCACATCTAGAGTAGGGAGTTCACCACCATGGAAGAAGGATTCAGTTGAACCTATATCAACACTGTAAACAGGAACACGAACCTTTACATTTTCATTAACCGTCATAGAATGAAACTGTTAGTTACTTTTGTTGCATCGATAGTCTTACACATGCATCACATTCAAAATCATACATTTAGGTCCAATTTTATTTCCTAAACAAAAGTCTGAATTAGGTAAAGTATCCAAATCCTGCTATATTAGATCCTTCTGATACATTTTCTTCTTATAACTTAGAATAGCTATCTGTCCATATACACTTCTTTTATTTTCTCTAACGATAAAATAAATTGCGACGTTCTAGTAATCCTAGTAGGAACAATACGAGAATAACAACAATAATATCAGAGTAGTGAAGAAATTTAAGTGAAAGATGGTCACTATTAATCCAGGGTGTTGAGCTTCACCTAGTTGTGTACCAAAGATAGTCACTACGGTCCCTAGTGACATTTATTTGCTCCAAGAGACCAGGATAAGTGAAAGTCGAGCTTTCGTCTAGAGAAGAAATGTCTTCATTAAAAGTCTCCCATGAGAACATCTCAGTATTGATAGGCACCATTTCCATCTGTGATGTTTGAACTCCAACCTATAACCATGGTAAGATAATTAAATCTCATATCACAGAGTTTGAGTTCGTACATGTATATATATTAAAGACATGAAATCGAGTAGTGTGTAACGATCAACGTACTTTTGCAGTATTGAAAACTACATTTCTGCAATCAGGAAGGATGCTGATGGACCAAGGAGGCAAGTTATAGTGCATGTTATTAAACATGACTCTTGCAGTAGAATTAGTATCGTAGTTCGAGAGAAAAGCTGCACAAGCTCCTGATTCTGGAGAAAAAACATGCGCCTAAAAAATTCCGAATATCAGTGACAAGTTACAGAATGTACACAACTTCAACTTCCAGAAGCTGAGGAGGGTTCAAAACCTGTTGTAAGCCCCCTAAAGAAATCACAGTTGGATCTGCTGAAACTAGGGCATGTTCACATAGCTTGATAGCCCTATGAAGCTCTTTCAAATGACCATATTTTGGTTGCCTGATCAAACCTATCAAGTCAATGCAAACAAACATTTAGTTCTATTCAATTTCTGGTGTACTAAGCATTCTTACGAATCTACTCAAGAAATATACTGAATGATGGACACACTTGGAAAGAAATAGCATAAGTTTTTGTTCTCACCATATTCATCAAGTGGAGCATCATAGTCATAGCTGGTAGTGATGAAAGGGCCTCCGGCTGAACGTCCGAAATTAGTCCCTCCATGATACTGTTTCATGCAGTGCAGATGGGAACTCATCTTAAACTAATTCAACATAGTACTGTGTGAAACTCTGGAATTATTGTAGGAGAAAACTAACCATGTAGTAATTAACAAATGATCCTCCCACTTGTATGAATTGAGCAACTGAGAATGCCAAATCCTGAACTGGCCTCTGGTAAATTGGACCGCCAAACTCTGTAAACCTTCACAATTTATTCTAAAATCAGAGTTAAATAGGTGTTTTTTTTCTTTATTTTTTATTTCCTTTCTTGACGAAGAGAGAAGAACAAATACAATACCATACCATCCACTCCAAGCTTCTGACCAAATTTTTGGTTTGTAAGGCCTATTGGGAGAGAAAGTGTCACAGTAGAATCCATTGCATGTGTTTATCTGAGAGCAATAACAAGCAAAAGGATCTTAACAGGGCAGCAGATTAAAGAGATTTGGGCATGCTTGGTTCAATTTTGTTAGAACTGTTCTCAAAAACTCGGAAAACAGAAATTTCATAGACCTGTCTTCACGTACATTTTTATAAATGAGTTTTCATAAAAAATTGAACCAAGCAACGAAGCATATGTTTCTTTATCACCTCACCAAAGAAAGCAATTGGTAGGTGGAAAGTTTAACTAGTTGAAGTTCAAAACAATTTGCTAGGTTCACACACATTGACACACACACACACACACACACACACACACACACATAATGATAGTGAATTTCAAGAGCAGCAAGAATAAAGGAGGACAACAAGAAAGAACTCACAAAAAGTTCTATCAAACAAACTAATGGTTAGAAAGGGACTACTCACCACAGGATCCGGGGCATCGTCTTCTTTGCACATCACCCAGGGGACCCCTGTTCCTAACCCCACAGCCATATTTGCAGCCCAAGTCATGTACTCATGGCCAGCATCTCCGAGTATTTTACCTCGCGGACCGTATTCATTCTCAATCTGCACAAACAAACTCAATCTGGGAATCTGTAGAATTCACTTCCAGTATGTCTGCCAATGACTTTTCCTTCACTTTTTTTTTTAATTTTCTTTCTGATTGTAATTGTTGAGTTAGTTAAAGGTCAATACCAAATGTTAGCTGATAACAAAACATACATGGGGTGTAATTTTCACAATGTGGCTGCCCTCGGCTCTCTAACAAAACATTGTATATTATTTTGCACAAAGTGACTGCTTTAAGACTCAAACCCGAGTACTTGGGTCTGGGAAAATATCATAGACCCAAAATTCATACCTGAGAGAGGATGATGGGGCCACCCTGGGACTCAAACAGATTTTCACTTTTCATCAAATTGACAATTTTTTCGGTGAACCCTTTCATGGCCATCTGCAGAACCATGGACTATATTAACAAACTACAGACAAAAAAATAAAAATAAAAAATAAAATTGTACATAAATACGAATCAGGGCTAATTTACTGTTCCATTAATTATATTTTTCTAGAATTTACTATTTGATAAAAGCAGGAAAAATGGGAATTGTGACCTTGAAAGGTTCATTGTCTGTCCTGAAGCTGATTCCAGGAACAAACTTGAGCCAAACTGGAAATCCTCTGCAAGAAAATAAATAAATTACAACAATTATATATAGATCAACAATTGAAATGAAAAAATATTAATTCGTGAAACGAAAAAATGAACTAAATAATCTCGAGATATGACAGAAATGGTGAGTACCCAAAATTCCACTCTGCGCAAACATAAGGCCCAATGCGGAGTTGAGCGTAGAGCCCTGCTTTCTGAATTGTGTTTATGAACCTAACTAGGTCATATCTTCCTTCAAAGTTATACTGAAACCAAACAGAACATAGAAGAAAAGTGCAAAGATTAAAGAGGAAATAAACAAAAGAAAACAGAGTAAAAACAGGGCACAACAGAGAGAGAGATTAGGAGAAAGTATAGTACATTGCCAGGAGAAGGTTCATGAACATTCCAAAACACATAGGTCTCAACAACATCTAGTCCTCCTTCTTTGGCCTTCTTTATAAGATCTTCCCACATCTAAAATAGATTTCATTTCATTTAGATAAGAGAGAGTGAAAAATGTCTGTGTGTGTGTGTTTTCTCGAGAAAATTTGAGAGAGAGAAGAAAATTAGAATGGGAATGATGTTGAATACTTCAGGGGTGCTTCTGGGGTAATGTATGGATCCAGAGATGAGAATTCTTCGTTGCCCATTGATGACGATGGCCTTCTTATCGTATGTCACACTACACTGGACCAGCTCAAAGCCCAGACACAAAATTAAGCAGAGGACAAATGAACATCTCGACAATGAATTGGTTTCCATTGAATCGCTGTCTCTGTTTGGAGGGAAGGCAAAAGATGAGAAAGAGAGATGGTTGGAGTGTGGGTATGCAGCAAAAAGGGGTCAGCAGAGTTGAGACTAGTGATTTACTACTTATATTGTGTGTGTGATATATATGTATAATGTTTGTTATATACAGTTTATGATCATATTATCGTATATATATATATATATAATAGAGAGACTAATTACTGTGTGACTCTGAGGGCTGAGCTCAAAAACCAAAAAGAGAGGGTGAAAAATAGCATGGAGTTTGCACTGTTTATAAGTGAGATTAAAGAGGGTTAATGCTTGGAGAGTGTGTTGCAATTCAATGATAAGTACGCATTCACTATCTTTGAAATAACGGAATTTGGAGAATTTGAATTTTAAATTAAAAGAATTATCCTTATTGGGAATAAATTTAGATATGGGTAAATTATGGAATCTAGTTAAAGAGGATATTGCTACTAAACAAACTCTGGTTTAAGAGAGAGAAAAAAGCAAAACAAATTGAAAAAAAAAAAAAAAGAAAAAAGAAAAAAGAAAAATATATATATATTGGGTCTAAATCTAACATTAACGGATTGATTTGTTTTTTTGTGTCTATGGTAGATTGGTCACAATCGGCTTCTCTGTCATTGGAATTCCTAGCTGTCACTCCATTCGGTCAACAATATGCATGTGTGTGTGTTTGTCATTGACTCATTATTATATATATATATATATATATATATATATATATATAAAATTGCAGTGTACAAATCTATTAAAAACGTCCAATCTGATTATTTTTTGAATGTGTTCAATTGAAGAAAAAAAATAATAAAAATATAAGATTAGTATTATTATCCATTAATGTGTAATGTATGTGTTGATTATTGATTTGAAAATTTTGAAAGATGAAAAATTCATTTCTATTTATCACTAATTAAGAGTCGTATTGGAGATTGAAATAAAGGGAAAAAATTGGTAAATCAACTGGTTAAATTTGATTTTACTAGATACAAAAAGGTTAGGAATAATTAAACGTAAAATGAATTCAGTTTGAAATATATAGTTGACGCATTTGGTGATGTCCTTCAAACAATCAGCACTCGTGTGTCTTGGTGACGGTGGAAGTGTGGAACCTCCCTCCTCCTTTCCGCGGAAAATGAAATAGAGCGAATGTGGTTTCCTTCCAATTCACAACTTTTAGGTTTGGGAATTCACTCATTCAGCAGCATAAAATAATTGAAACAAGTCAAAGGAGAGAAAATGGAGATGCAGGAAACTTCATTCTCTGCTTTTGTCATGGGAAAGTGAGCAGAAATTCTCCCAAACATGGCCCCAACCATATTTCCATGCGGATCTGCGCTTTCTCAAACATACTTGTCCCAATTTTTATTTTTTATTTTTATTTTTTTTTTGATTGGAGAAGTGCAGAAAATAAATAAATAAATAAATGTTATTTAGTATATGCGCATAAATTCTTAATATTTGAAAACATGTATAAATTTTTGAGAGATGATATTGGCACTCCACTTTTTAACGTTTGTATTACAATCTTAAATGAAATGACAATTCTAACTCTAACTTTGCAAGTAAATAATTATTACTTTTTAAATGACAAAACTGTCCTTTTAGATTTATTCTCCTTATCTCTAATCTTTATTATTTTAGGTCTTTTTTGACCAGACAAAAAATAAAACGACTAATTTAATATTTTTTTTTTACGGGACCAAGAAATAAAAATTTATGTTGAATAAATTGACTCTTTTGACCAGACCAAAAAAATAAGAGGTAACCATTAAAAAAATTATCTCTTTTGACATGAAAAAAAAACACTCCTGAAAAAAAAAATTTATTGAAGAAATTATATTTTTTTGTCAATATCCCCAAAATAAAAGAAAAAAAGTATGAAAAATAGAGGATTATATATATATATTTTTATCTAAATTGAATAAATTATCTTTTTTGATAAGACAAAAAAAAAAAAAAAAAAAACTAATAAATTATTTCTTCTGACAGAATCCATAAAAAATTATCAAAAATAAGAAGTTACCTCTTTTAACTGAAAAAAGTTAACTTTGTTGAATAATATCTCTTTTAATAGTACAAAAAAAAAAAAAAAAAAAAATAAAGTCATTTTAGAATAATTTATTTCCTTTTGACTGTCAAAAATTAAATTATTAGTATGCAATAAATTATTTTCTTTAAGAGGACCTCTGAAAAAACAAATAAAAAGAAAAAAATAGTAAATAAAGTAAGAAGGTAAAAATATGTTAAAAGTTGTATAAAGGTAGTTACGACATATAAATTAAGGGATAGGGCACTAATGAATTTAAAAACCTTTTTATTATTTTTTTTAAACATAAAAAATAAATATAATACAATCGAAAAAAAGTAAAGTACGAGTATAGTCTCCCAAATTAAATTGCCACCTAATATTTGTTTGGGCTTTGCTTCTTGTAGTCCTTGACATTGATTTTGTTCTTACTTAAGTAATTGATGATATTCTAGAAGATCCCCCTATTTCTTTATATAGATATAGTACTGCGAATCAGTTCATTATGAGAAAAAGGTCCCCCTTAAATTCGAAATAGGGTTTTTTTTAGGGTAAAGTATAATAACACTCCTTTAAGTTTGGCATAAGGACACTTAGATACAAGTTAACTTATTTTTGAATAATGACACCTCCTCAAGTTTGATAAAATTAACAAATACACCTGACCCTTTAATATAAAATTGACAAATACAATTGACTTAAATACCATTTGATCAAATAGGTTTAAATGGGTTACCGGGTATAACCCATCTAAGAAACTCAATTTTTCTCTCAAACCACCAAACACTCAGACTAGCCCCAAAGATCTGGTCGGCCACGACAATCATCACTCAGACCCTATGAAGCACAGACACTCCTCCCAGGGGCCCCGTACCCGTGTCGGATACTTTTCGGACACCGACACCCGTGTCCGAGGCTCGGACACGTGTCCGACACTTCTGTAAAGTGTCCAAATATTATTTTTTATTGGACACGCGTGTCCGAGGCTCGGACACACGGTCTGACACTTCTGTGAGATAAAATTTATTTTCTCTCACTCCTCTCAGTCTTTCCTCTTCTTCAATTATCTCTTTTCATGAGCAAGATATATATATATATATATATATATATATATATATTTAAGTTACATGAACAAAACTTTGTGAAAGACTGAAAGTATATATATTTATTCATATACATATTTAGTTCATTATAGTTATGTCTCTTCTGCACATCTTCGTTTGGAATTTGGATCAACTTTATTTTTCATTTATTTTCTGTTTTGTCTTATCCATATTTTTCTTATAACAGAGATGAAATTATTGAAATTGATTCTGTTCTTTGTTGTTGTTTTATTTATCTGTACAAGATTCTAGTAATTATATTTTGAATATATATATATATATAATTTTATAGGCGTATCCCCGTCGTGTCCGTGTCTTATTTTTTTGAAATTTGCCGTGTCGCCGTATCCGTGTCGTATCGTACCCGTTTCCGTATCCGTGTCCATGCTTCATAGCTCAAACCTATATATCACATATATGTGTGTGTGTGTGTGTGTGTGTAAAGAGTATATGAGGGTAAAAGCGTTATTTAAGAGTTTTGATATTTTATAATTTAAATTAATAAAAAATTAAAGGGTAATATTGACTTTTTATAATTTTTAGGGGACGATTTGGATCCAATTTTTGATAAGAAAGTATCATTGTCCAAAAATAGACTATATGCCAAATCTCAGGGGTGTAATTGCACTTTACCTTTCTATTTATTTTGTCTTAAGAGTATTTTAGGTATTTAAGTTTTTAAATTAACAAAATGTACAATGTAAGAGTTTTTTAAAAAAAGAAAAAGAAAAAAACCAAGTAATATTTGTACATTTTTTTTTTATAACAGATAACTTTTTATTTTATAAAAGATGTAAAAGTACCATTGCAGCCAACATTGTAACCTTGATAATTATGCTTGTCCAATTTATGTCATCTAAATATTCCAAAAGATGATCCTAAAACACCTCATAATTCACACCTGTACGGCAAGCACATGCAATTCCTCCATCTTGAGTGAAGACATTAAAGTTGAGCAAACTATAAATATTGCTTATAAACCAAGAAAAGAAGAAAAGAAAAAAGAAAAAATAAAATCTGTCAACTACTAAATAATTACGCCTACTTGTTTCCCAAAAGGGCATAAAGAATTAGATAGCATGATGAAGCAGTGGTGTTTTGGGGGGTGTTACATAGTTTATTACTTCAGTATTCAACGGCGTGAAGGACGGAAGAGAATGAAGACCCTATGACAGTGGTGGGTCCCACCTTCATCCTACCGTTCTAAATCTCGCTACTGCTGCTCCCACTAGTAGCCGCAGATTTCGGATATTTTCACCTCTATTTAATTGTTCTACTTGTCTTGCACACCTATATCACGTGTTTATTGTTAGAAGTTAATTCAAATTTAATTTTAATTTCATCTCTTTTTATTTATTTATTTTTTTGGTAGGTAATTTCAGTCTCATCTGAGTCATCTCTTCTGTTATAATTGAAATTAAAATAAAATGATAGGATAAAAGTAGAGGGTTTTTTTTTTTTTAATTACCTTTTCTTATCAATTTGGTTACATTTTGTGTCTATTTTAGGGAGTTTTCATCACTCCATCTTGTTTTGCTTTTTAATTATATTCCCTCTTGAGGAAATTATAGGGCATGTTTGGAAAGTGTCATGCTATTATTTTTCTGATATTGATATTTAAATTTGAACCAATATCATGTTTGGGACGGTTGATATTGATTTGAAATAGTTCACAATATATTATATTTTTTTTGGCCAAAATCTATATCACCCCAAATTAGTGGTATTGTATGTTTTTAATACTGTAGTGAAAGAATTAAAGCAAATTTTTGAATTTCACAAAACAAAATTTTGTTACCAACACATGATTTCAATTTTAACCCAAAACATTCCTACAACCAAACGGTTATTTTAATTTTACCATAAACATAACGCTAAAACATATCACATGACAAACGGACTGTCCTCCGATACCTAACTTCTTGTTTACTGTTGAAACACCACAGCCAATCAAGGCCACCAATTCTCACACGCGCGCGCGCGCACAAAAGTGGTGCATGGTCTAAAGGAGCCATTGTTATTATGAATTTGACTTTGATCACAAATATTAAACTGAATTGTTGGGTACATCATTGTGGGTGAAGTGTCCTAAACCTAGGTATATACTGTAACCTGTCGAGTTAGAAGCATTGAAAGATTTGTAACTTTAGCATTAATGAAGGAAACATTCCTAAGAGTCGTTTTGGAATTTTTACTTTGCAGGCCTTAACACGTTGAATCCGAATCCTTTCCCGTAATAATTTCTCCTTTTTTTTTTTAATTTATAAAATCAGTATATTTTATCACTTTTAATGATGAATTTCATTATTATAATAGTGACATTTCACAAATAAAATAATTACAAATACGTAAAAATACCTCATTAAAATTAATAAGGTTTACCCACCCCAAAAAACAACGGGAACCAATGAAAATTCGTTATTGAAAAAGATTTTATAATTCCCAACACCGTGAAATTTATATATTTGCTGGACTCCTTTTATCTTAGATTTATCCACTTTTGTGTAATTGAAGAGTTTCTGCGGAAGCTATATAACTTCGATATATACAGGGACCGAGGGAGTTAAGGGCCAATGGGGCACGTGCCTTCCTGAATTTTCCCTTTCTCTTGTATTTTATATATATTTTATAATAATATATATGGTTTTTATGAAAATATCTAAAACGTACCCTTGAAGTTTTTTCATTTCTCCTAAAATTTTATATATGATTCTTATTTTTTCTCTTAAATTGTTTCTTTAATCTTTATATTTTATATTTATAAATTACTTTCATTCCAAAAATATCATACATTATATTGTAAATATATGTTAGAGTGTACAATACTAACTTTTGAAAAAAAAATTCTGACTCCGTCTCTTAATATATACATAGTAACATATATGTATATATATATACTTCATATCCATTAATTCTCTTGTGAGGATTCCTTGTGTGTGTATTATATTTTACATAAATGATACTCACATCAATTTTATCTTCATCATCTCTAGGCTAAAACATATTATCATAGATTCATAGATACTGAACTCTGATGAAAGGTACCCGTGAGACGATGCGTGATTGGCTCATCGGTGAAAGAAAGGTTGGATGGTTGTTAATAATGGGCCCCACAAAAAGCGCGCCAAAGATGACCGTTATGACCAAAGAACCCCACTAACTAACTAAAATCATCACTACTCACTTTTTCATATGACCGTTAGGGTATCATGACCGTTAGGGTATCAAAATTCAACTCCTTTAGTTGGTTGAAACTAATCACATTACATAAATGATTTGCAAAACGTTAAATAGTATAAAGGATAGTGCATATAATAAGAGGAAAATGCTTTTAAGCTCTGTGAATTGAAGTGAATTATTTGACCGAATAATTAGAGATGTATATAAAATATAAAGAAGTGAGACTCCCACGACAGCCTGATTAACACTATCAATAATAAAAAAGAATTTAGAGTGTAATACCGACACCATGAACAAGCCCAAGCCCTTGAAGAAGATTATTCATTAGGGTTTTGCACTCCCTTGAAGTGTCATCCATCCCTTAATTTATACGACTCACACAAAACTCTTTTAGGGCATGCATGTGATTGCTATGACTGTGTCCTAAACTTTGGGGCCTATATGTTTGCTCTTTATGGCTTGTTTATTATGTCTTTAAGTCCTAACACATCTATCTTCTATGTATTGTTCAAATAGAATATCTTTTTTAGTTATATAACTACCATCCAACTTCCAAAAAAAGAAGATTATATTCTCCACTTTTATTTTCCAACGGTACACTTCAATTATTTTCTGAATCACCCACACAGCCTTTATTGGATGCAAAATTAGGCGTGAATGCAATCATAGCTCGAGGAGACAAGGTCTTATCGAGATTAAGATTATAATGATATCATTTTAGAATCCGAGAAGAAGAAAAAACCCTAAAAGTTAAGATCATGTATGGATTGAAATTAACCATATCTATATAATGTTAGTTGTTTATGCAGATAGTGGCTGTTTGAACGGGATGGTAAGGTTTAAATCCTGTACCAATAAATAGGTGTGTGAGTTTCTTACCAGTAAAAAAACAAAATAAAAAAAATAAAAAAGAACATTTACATTATATTCTTTGTTTAGGTTTTGTTTTGTTTTTGTTGTAAGAGGTTGCATTTGGTTTAACTTCCCGGGAAAGAAAATTGTGTGAAAGTTTTATACCAAAAACTTCAAGTGGGCTCAAAGTTTCTCAGGCCCAAAGCATGGTTGAGTGCATCTGGCCCAAGAAGCTTCATAATTGAATGAAAGGGGAACCACCCTTGATATAATTTTGTTTTTTGGTTTTGTTAATTAAAATATTGATCACATGGAAAAGATTGAATCATTAGTATGGTTCGTTGTTAGAAGCGAGGAGGAGGGTGCAAATTCGAACACGGGTTCTGAAGTAACCCAATCACTTGAGCAATATGACTCTTACATATTAATTCCAAATTTAAACTGGAAGACTTTATTTATTTATGTTTTTAGTTTTTACTAATATATATATATATATATATATATAGGCACGGACTTAACATAGGACTAGTGGGGGTGGATGCCTCCATTAAATTTTTTATATTTTCATTTTATATCTTAAAATTTTGAGAATTTATGAAGATGCCTCCACTAACAATACAATTCACTCCCATTAGATTTTTTTTTTTTTTTTTTTGTTGCATTTTATACTTCAAATTTTTGAAAATTTATGAAGATGCCCCTATTAAAATTACAATCCGCCCCACTGATTATTATTATTATTATTATTATTATTATTATTATTATTATTTTTGCATTTTATACTTTAATTTTTTGAAAATAGACTCACTATATAAATTTGCCCCCACAAATTAAAAGGCGGCCCCCCTCACAAAATTTTTTGGGGCCGTCGCTATATGTATATATATATATTTGTGTACTGACAGGCAATAAGAAAAAAAAAATACTTTAATACTCTTGAAATAGATGACATGATTTATGTATGTTTCTAATAGTCTCTAAAAGGTGTGTGTGTGTAACTGTGTGTGTCTATTGTTATTTTTCCCAACAAAAAGAACATGGGCCAACTTGATAGGGCATCACTTTTGTGGAATTTGGAACTAAATTGAGTGACCCATAAGACCCATGGACTCGTTGGCTTAATACGGAGTAGTAGCTTTTTTCTTTTTGGTACTCTAGTCGCATCTTCTTCTACCAACTGAATTTCAAAATTTTAACGGTCAAGTTCCCTAAAAACCTTCCACTTTGTTCTGAAACAACCAAATGATTCACCGTCCCAAATTTCTATCAACCTTTGTTTCCAAACTCACCCTCCTCCGCCAACCATCTCTCCAACAACAACTTCGCGCAAAATATAGTCGTAGATACAACCCTAGAGACGAGGACGAAGATGATGATAGAGTTCGAAAGAGAACTGAAAATCAAGAAAAGAATATACATCTACACAAAAGCATGGGTCAGCACATTCTCACCAACCAACGAGTTCTTGATTCCATTGTCCAAAAATCTGACATAAGGCCGACCGACACTGTTCTGGAGATCGGACCAGGCACCGGAAATCTCACTCTGAAGCTTCTCGAAGTCGCCAGAAAGGTCATCGCAGTTGAAATTGACAAGAGAATGGTGGAGATTCTCCACAATCGTGTCGCAGAGCACGGACTTGAGGAAAAACTGACTGTAAGAATAAACTGCTTATATATTGTTCGATGAAATGCGTCACAGAAGGTTTTGAGCCTGAAAATGATTTTAGAATATGCTGAATTGAATTGGGTGACTGTAAGAATAACTTGTTTATATGTCCTTCGATGAAATGTGTCGCAGAAGCTTTTGAGCATGAAAATGACTTTAGAATAAGCTGAATTGAATTGGGTGACTGTAAGTAATAACTTGTTTATATGTCGTTTGATGAAACGTGTCACAGAAGGTTTTGAGCCTGAAAATGACTTTAGAATATACTGAATTGAATTGGGTCTTGCAGGTTATATGCAAGGATGCGTTGAAGACTGAGTTTCCGCAATTTGATCTTGTTGTGGCAAACATTCCGTATGGAATATCATCGCCTCTTTTGGCTAAATTGGTATTTGGAGCAATTCCATTTAGGAGCGCAACACTTCTACTTCAGAAAGAGTTTGCACGGCGATTATTGGCGAATCCTGGTGACTCGGAGTATAATCGTTTGGCTGCAAATGTGAAGTTAGTGGCTGAAGTGGAGTTTGTCATGGATGTAAGCAAGAGGCACTTTCTACCTTGTCCAAAAGTTGACTCTTCCGTTGTTAAAATCCGGCAAAAAGCTGAAATCCCAGAGGTTGATCTCGATGAATGGCGTGCCTTCACAGCAGTGTGCTTTATTAAGAAGAACAAAACATTGGGTGCGACATTTAAGCAAAAGAGGAAGTTGATGCAGCTACTGAAATTGTCTGAAGTGACAGGTTCTAATGAAGGAAATGCTGTTGATTTCGACAATTCTGATTGCAGTGATGATGGAGATGAAGAGGACAAAGAAGGTGAGAGTGATGAAGGGAACTACTCTTTATCCTTTGGCTCGGAAATGGGGATGAATTTGTTTAAGGAAAAAATCATTGGAGTTCTGAAATCCAGTGGGTTTGAGGATAAAAGGCCTTCAAAGCTATCGAATGAGGAATTGCTGCACTTGCTCTCTTTATTTAATCAAGCTGGGATTCACTTTCGTGATCGAGCAAAGAAGAGGGATGCAAGCAATGTAGAATTTGCTGCTGCCTAAACTCCATTGTAATACTGACTTCTTGCTTAATTTTCACACATTTCTGTCACAGAAGGAATCTCAGAAGAAATAATCAGAATTAAACACAACCCAAAAATTTTGATGAAAGGAAGACGATATCTACATCAATTTTATGTAGTTTCTTTAATCAGTCTAATTATATTGTGGTTCTATTTGGCTTCATAGTAATCTTTGCTTTGGCTTTCTGGTGCAGGTTCTTTGCATTTTCATTTTAAACATCGTTATTTTTTATGATTATTCATCCAGCGTTTTGTGCTTCATCTACCGAATCAAGGGAATAGAAGTCAGCCGTGGAATCGCCCACTAAAATGGAGTAGCTGGTTTTTTTTCTTCTGCCAAACCACAGAACAAGTCCACCGTTTCAAACGCGAGCATGCATTTCTTGGAGGAAGATGCTGCTGTAAATTGGCAGGTTGCATGATCAACATTCTACTCAATGCTGCAATTCTATCTGCAGCAGCATCTCATCGGAAGCTTTGTGCTTGTCTAAATATACATTTGAACCAGTCCTTTTCGGGGTTTTGGTGCCTTCTGTCGCGAGCAGATAGGGAGGAACTTGCTCTGAACAAACAACTTAAATGCAATGTTGATTTTTTCTTTTCTTTTGTTTTTTTTTTGAACTTGCTCTGAACATTACTGAAAGAGCGCGAAGATGTCAGGCTTGTGAGATTTTACCTCATGGGTTCTGGACTATTTTTATTGAGAAGAATAGAGAACCAATAATTGTTATTTATTTTTTTGAATTTTATTATAAAAAAATGTGACAAACGTGATTACTCATGTTTGAATTTAAGAGCAGTATAGAAAAATTTATCAAAAAAAATAATAGTAAAATAAATAAAAATAAATAGATTATCAAATTTTGCTGCATGTTCTTGTATCCAATCAATCACTCTGAGAAAAGAGATGACATTATGGTTAAGGAGAGTGACTGTGAGAGGATGGCTCTTGTGGTTACTCTCGAACTCGAGCACAAAAATGTTTGGTACGAATTTTGTACTATGGTGCATTCACCAACCGGACATTATTGATGGGTTACCTGTGCACGTGCGCAGAATGGGACAGAACCACCATGACAACCACCATGACAGTGATGACAAGTTCATTACCACCACACAAGTTCTTATAAAAAAAAAACCATAAACTTTATAATAGATTGTGACTTAGATAAGTTTGTTCAGTCCATCTACCCTACTTGCATTCAGTCAGTCCGAAAACGACCCTGGAGAGGGCCCGATGAGGCGGTCCAAGACAGGAACCAACTCTCACGAGGGCCCTGACTGAGTGGTCATGATATCATACAGGAAAATGATTCTTTGGCCGATTTTCGTAACCTATTTGCTATTTGTATAGCCATACACAAATAGGTCTAAATATCATTACTCTTATCACATATGAAGCTCAATGGTCTATAGGCATGACGGTAATGGGCATCTTCTTCCTCATCTTGACTGTTGGAAAATTGAGAATCTCATCCGCCTCAGCCTCCCATCTGCACAAGATGAACTGAAATGTCACAATATATACGCGGGAAAATCTATTCTAGGGCTTTCTTGAGTCAAGTAAGTTGCAACATTTGATAAATACCCACAGGGGCTCGAACTATCAGCCTCCCCTTTGGGGAGGAGAGGTTACACTATCCGGGCTAGAGGTCTGGTGGTATGAGTTTAATATCATGACAAAGCGTATATGTTCGGTATTTTTCACGAGTTCACATGGAAAGATTACCTGTATGTGGTAACAAGATGATGGAGGAAGATTGAGATTTCGAGCCTTGAGAGTTCTAATCCAGGACACAACCTTTGTCCACCACCAAATGGTGTGAAGATATTGCTGTTGACAGCAGCCCCTGTTTTCTGCCGACACGAAAAAGAGCAATAATTTTCAGAATGACCAGAATGAGGTCTCCAATTCCAAATTTAAGGCACCAATTTAGTGCTCCGAACACAGCTTCAAAGAATAGTTTTTAGGTCATATAACCATGGCTTTAAATGACTTGTGTGACACTATTAGATAGAAAATGGAACGACCTTAGATATATATTTTATCACCCTCCCTAAATCACACATACAGATTTTGGTTAAGAAAATTTATGCATGCACTTTAATTAGAATATAATAATAATAAAATGTCTGTAAATGCTGACCTCCCATCTCCATGGATCAAATTTGTATGGGTTTTCATAATTTTCTTCATCCATATGAACAGAACTGAAGGATGCCAAGACACACCATCCTTTTGGTATCAAATAACCTGCAAAAAAACACACACACACACACACACACACACACAGAGACTAGGCTTCAGTTGATGCAAAAATTCTAAAAGAAAACATCAAGAGGAACACATAAATACTTTTCTCTTTTAGTCTGCTATAGAGAAAAAATAGTAGATATATTATTCTACAGTCTACACTGAGATGCATCAAAACCATTGAAACACACACAGACACACACACACACACACCTTTGATTTCTACATCCTTCAGAGCTTTCCTCCAAACTGCATTGATGATGTTTGCCATTCTAAGAGTTTCACTGATCACCTAACAAAAAATATCAAATCAGTACCAACATAAAATTGTTTTTTTACCAAATCACAATTTTTTTTCATAAACTTCAAAGTGAAAATTAATTTTTGTGGATCTTATTTTTTCGACATCTGAGACTCACATTTTGAGTAAATTGCAAGGACACATAGTCAGTCCAAGCATACTCATCGCCAGAAAGGGCTTTGAGCTTCTTCAATTCCATGTTCTCCTCCTACCATTACCATCGAAAACGAAAACATCAGCACCAAATCATAGTACAACACCAATAAATCAATCACATAGTGTAACGACTCGTTGTGTAAATATTATTTGTTTTGCACATTATTTGTCTTAACAATTTTCAAAATGCGTTAACACATAAAAGTGTTTGGGACGTCGCAATAAGGATAGTGACACGTAATATTAAGACATTGGCGCAAACTTACTGGAAAAAATAAAAAAATAAAAAATCTTGGTTTCAAATTAAATGTTCACCTTTTCATTTTTTCACTATCTCAAGATAAATGTCTTATTTAAAAAGTCAAAATACTATTTTTTTTTGTAACATTACTAATTGAACCTTCTTACATTGAACTTATAAAAAGTAAACCGTCATATCATCTGAACCCACTATAGACACATTTGATACTAATAATTCATTCACTACCAATATAATAAAAAAATATTAAAACTCTATCTTCTTAAAAAATTATATTCTCAAAATAAAAATATTTAATTTGAGACGAGTAATAAATAAATTAAAAATAAATACATAAAGAACAGTCGGTGAAGACATGATTCATGATATAGATTTTTGTCACAGAACCATATGGTCAAAAGCCAATTTATGGCCCAGCAGGATTTTCATGAAGTGGACCAAAATTTCAGTTCTGCATATTGACATTTTCAAAGTACATATTGAATTATTGAGTTGGTGTGGAATAGAATTAAATGTCATTACTTTCTTTTATATATATATATATATAGATATAGATATATAAAAGAGAGCTACTCTACAAAGGGTAGGTGTTCTTTTACCTTAATTCTTCTTATTTACTCCATGTTGAAATAAATACAACACCTTTTTTCAGAAGGACGTGTTCGGTACTTTTAAGTAGTTCTGACAATAGTGTGACTACACAACAGAGTAAGTGGGCGCTGTGTGGACCAGTGTTTTACAAGTCCAACTAAAGATGGAACTAGAATAAAGGACTTCTAGTTCAGTTACAACCAGCTAGTTCACCTCTCCATTTTGTGGTGCTAAAAAAATGATGTAGACATATCTACAATAAGCGTAATGACCCACAACGGCGTACTGTGCTGCAGCGGATGACCATGACCATTCATACTTACGTGTGTTAAAAAAAATGATGTAGACAAATCTACAATAAGAGTCAGGATCCAACTACAGTGGACGGACATGATCAATTCATACTCAAGTGTGTTAAAAAAATGTAGAAATATCTAAAATGAGGGTGTGTTTGGATAGATAGAGGACAAAAGAAAAGAAAGGATAGCATTAGTTAAGAGAGAAAAAAAAGAATGGTAATAATTTTTATTCGTGTTTGGATAAATAGAGAAAAAAAAAAAAGAAATGATACTTATTCTTGTTTGGATAAGATAGAGGAGAGAAAAAAAAAAGAAAGGACAGTGATCAAATTACTATCATACTCTTTTATAACCATTCACACATTTTCTGTATATTAATTTGTGGAGTGTATTTTTTGTATTACTAATTAATCACTTACTCCACTATCATTCTCTCCCTATCTTCTCAAATTGGAAGAAAAACCAAATGAGGGATAAAGAGGGATAATAAGGGATAGTTATCCCTCCTAATTTCACCCTATCCTCTCTTTTTTCTTCACTTAACCTACTCAAACGCACTCTCACTCTATCATTTCTTTTCTTTTCTCTCCCTATCCCTCCAAATCAACCATACCAAACACACCCTAAGAGTCTGGATAGGTTCTGTATTACAGGGTCAGGATCATTCGTATGCGAGATCCTGTCTCTGTTGTTCTAACACCGTGCTGTAACAGAAAAGACAAAATGAATGTGTAAATTTTTTGTAAAACTAAAAATAAATAAAATAACATGCCATGGACACCAATTCTAGTGCAAATAATTGAGAATATGCCATGGACAAAAAGCAGTTACTTAGGGCTATTTTTTATTATTATTATTTTCATTCAAAAAGGGTGAAAATTTCTTTAAAAGCCATGAAAATTAAATTATTCCCTTGTAACATATAAGGAAGAGAAATATTTAGATGGTTTTGAAATTATTGGTCCGATTATTAGACAGATAAGTAAAAAATTAAAAAAGTTTATATATTTTTTAACACAATTCTTTATGTGCTTAATAGTGAATGGCTTGAGGCCATATAATAACTCCTTGTTACAAAAATATCACGAGAGAATCCTAGAAAGGTCAACATAGACATTATGGAAAAAACAAACTATAATTATAATTTTTTTTTGCCTCTATACACCTAATTTGTAATTAATTCTCCAACTTTATACTACAGATTGTATAACGTAAAATTTGAAATTAAATAAGCATTGACAAGTGGTATAGGTCCTAATTTTTTAAAGAGACATCAAGAGTTCAAATCTCAATGAAAACATGTGTGTGAGTATCAATTAAAAAAAAAAAAAAGTAAAGTACAGTAACACCCCCCTGAGGTTTGCTGAAAGGATATTCAGAGGAAATTTTTCTTATTTTGGGACAATGACACCCTCTGAAATTTGATACATCTACCAAAGACACCCCAATGGTAATAAATTGACATTTTTACCCTTTGATTTTTATATTGACTAATTTAAATGCTGAAATGACCTTTCTAACCTCATACCCATAACAATTTCTTTTCTTCTCTCCTCTCTATTTTCTCTTTCTCATACTATCACACATTAAATTATAGTTAGCTCAAGTCAAATTCATCACTCTTCTAACTAAAAGATTTTGCGTAAATTAAATTATACAATTCTTCCCAGTATGTTATTCATGATACATTCTTAGAAGTCACTAACTTTATATTAGGTTATCTAATTATGTGTGTATTATACAATTATTTTTTTATTAAGTGTAAGTGCATCACAAATGTAATTTATATATATATATATATATATATCATTAATGTTCCACAAAGTGCTCCGCCATTGAAATCATTAGCTAATTCAATTTAATTTCAAATATATTTGTATTGACCTTTTATATATATATATATATATATATATATATATATATATATAGTGAGTGCAGAGTGGGGTTGTGAAAGGAGAAGCACTGGACTTTTAAGTGCATTGGATTGGATCCAAGTTCGTTGATGAAATATACGATATAACTACATTTTGTTATTAAATGTTTGATGATGCGGATAAAGACTATGTAGATTTACAGTTTTTTATTATAGAAGTCTAACAAACATTTATTTAAGGTAACTTGGAGAGCAAAAAGATTCATTATTACATACTACATGACAATCGTTAAACTAAATAGTATGAAAAAAGATAAATTATTTTATTAATTATGTGATACAAAAATCTTTATTGGACACTGTTTATTAAAGTAGTCAAAAATAAATAACTAAAATCAATTCCCCATCCTAACATCATTGAAAATAAAATACGGCGTATGCGTGTATGTGTGTATATGTGTGACGGTATGTGTTGGTGTTAAGGGATGAGAAAGAGAAAATAGAGAGAGAATAAAAGAAATTGTTATGGTATGAGGTTAGAAAGGTCATTTTAACATTTAAATTAGTCAATATAAAAGTCAAAGGGTAAAAATGTCAATTTATTACCATTGGAATGCTTTTTGTAGATGTATCAAACTTCACGTGTTGTCATTGTCTCAAAATAGGTAAATTTTCCTTTGAATGCCTTTTTGACAAAAAAAAAAAAAAAAATACAATTATTTTTCCCGTTAAATATTTTGTCTATGCATCCAAAAATAATTTTCTAAAAAAAAAAAAATTTAAAATTATACAAAAATTTATATTAAAAAAATTAATATAAAATATGACTTAAGACACGTAAAGCGGGAGTCTAAAAGTAATAAAATTAAGTCACAAATTATAAAAATTTGAACGTAAAAATGATAAAATTAAATCAAATTTGAGTAAAAAAGTGCAAAGCGCGATCGCGTGAATGAGAGCGACATCTCATTGAAATCCAAACATGGGCCTTACTTTAGAACTGACACTTGATGGTCAGTGGTCACAATTAGCGCAGACAAAGTTAATACGTGGTCCATATCTGACAGCCGTTCAATCTTAATCCTACGTCTCTGAGACGTCCACATCATTACACAAACAATGTGGACCCCACTCTTTCTATCTCTCTATCACACATCGCAGTCTCACTCGTGCACGGCGTTACTGAGTCTGACTGAGATTTGAGAGTGGATTTCAAAAGTCAAAACAATATGGTATACTTTCTATAACCTAAGATGACGTGGACAACTGGGACCCACTAAGTGAAAAGTAAATTCCAGACCCAATCCCAACCGTTGGATCAAAATTTCATTTTAGATCATACGTACCACTACACGCGTTAAAACGACGGGGTTGTCACTGAGGAATTTGACAGCTACGGTCATCACCATGGGCACGGTGTCCTCCCCCGGGATCATCATCTCTACGATATTCCCGCTGATGAAATCCAACGGCAGACGTTGCTGCGTCTCATTTGATTCGCCTGTGTCGCGCAACAGCAGGTCTATTGCATCTTTTACTAAATTACCCTTCTCTTCTGTTTTCTCCATTGCCATTTTTCTCTCCTCAACTATCCTTTGCACCATTTTCAACAACCTTTCCTTTGCCTGCATGAACAATCCCACATCACAATCACCACCTACATACATATATATACATACATATGTATGTATGCATGCTTCTACATATTTATATAAATATACTAGTATGATGTGCATGTGTGCCCGCATTCTTGGCTAAACTATTAGGTTTAAAAATTATTAACTTATGGTTTATTTTACCTTCAAACATTTATATAATGTTGTCCCCGGAAATTTGATGGGTAAACAAATCAACCCTTTTATGAATTCCCCAAATTCTCTCTTCAAAAAGTTTAAATCTTCACCAGGATCAATGCTCATCAACACTTTGACGAGAATTTCAAACGTAATCTACATACACAAAAAAGAACGAACTCCATTAGAGGTGCGTATAGTTAACAACATACGTGCATATACAAACATAGTGATGAACACAAAAAATTATACAAGATACGTGCATATACAAACATAGTGATGAACCCAAAAAATTATACTAGTTGAGATAACTTTGAACAACCAGAATATATTGTGGGGGTAATATCAAAAATTGAGTAAGGGCATTTTTAAAATTTTAACAAAAATTATAAATAATTTTGAAAATAAAAAATATATATATTGGGGCGGCTCTCCCACTAAGCCCTTAATAGGTCCGTCCTATACAAACATATACTCCCTCTGTTTCAAAATAGAACACTTATTTTGGAACAGAGCGAGAATATATACATACATGGATGATAATGTGTGTATATAACATATACATATAGAGAGAGAGAGGGACCTGTTTGGTTTCTTCTTGGATGAAAACAAGGTGTTTGTGTTTCCAAGTGGACAAGGAGAGTTTGAAAGAGTTTTCAATATCTTTTGTTATACGAGCTTTGAGTTGTGGAGATCTGAGGAAGCCTCCAATAAGGGCATGAAGTCTCTTCTGTAGAGCTCCATTCATTTGCAGTATTGAAGATTTTCCAAGTAGTTCAGTGATTGATTTGGGATAATATGGTATGAAAACGTTCCCATGGTTCTGTAAAACCACCTTGTTCACGTCTTGGTCTGTGGACACTATCAAATGTCTTCCCAATATGTGTGTTTTGAACACCCTCCCATACCTAAAACAACAAAAAATGCTTTAATCCTTCTAGAATATCGATAACATGGCATTACTAATTAATTAAATACTCATACATAATGATATGATCTACTGAAATAAAAACATTTTATTTGTGATAAAATATATTTGGTAGCAATGCACTTTAACAAAAATGGCTCCAAATGAGAGGTTAAGTCTTCGAGTCCATTAGGATGGCTACTAAAGAGAGGTTAAGTCTTCAAATCCGTTACAGGGGGACAAATTGGAGTGTGTTGCTTGAATTTAAAAATATATATATGTATATAATTATTTTAATTTTTAAATATATATAGGTATATAATTGAGAATGACACCGGTGACAACTGTGATATAGTTTCATCGAAAGGGACCTAAATCCTCTTCAATATAACACACAAATATATACAGTATATATATATATACACACATACGTATATATATATAATTTTTTAAGACAAGAAGTGTTAGAAGTTATATAGAGAGTCAAAACCTAACACTCCAAATTTAACAGAAAACACTAGTTTACTCGACTACCCAGCCATCTACATATACACATACATACATGCATACACAGATAGTGAGGTAGATTCTAGTCATTTAATTTTTGATTTGTTGCTTTTTCATTGATTGAAGGAAGAGAGAAGGGGTTGCAGTCTATGGAAAGAAAATGGTGATTTTATTTTACCTGCAGAAGCAATAAGGGTTCCAGTGCCTAAAGGTCTACTTTTCTGCATGGCAGCTTTCTCCTTTTTACAAAAGTCATTCTTGGTGCTATTATTTTCACTCGATGTTTTCCGATTTCCACCATTTTTGCTGCTTAATTGAAAAGCCTCCTAGTAAATTACCTAAATCGTTTAATACATTAAATGCATGGAACAAAAAGAGTTCAATGTTTTAAGAGAGTTTCTAGCTAGTATTGTATTTGTTTTCCAAATTTTTATATAGTATTTATTTATTTCTTTTTGAATTTTTGAGAATGAAACAATCAAAATTTTCAAAACAAAAACTGCTTTTCCTTTTCATTTTCTTTAATAAACAAAGAAAGCTGCTTCCAGCAAGCATGTTTTCTGTGTGCTTTATTAGTTTTTAAAAGTGATTAGACAAAAGTGGAGGCATATATATAAAATAAGGGCACTTCTTGAAACATTTCTTTGTTTAAAAATAAAAGATAGTCAAATTTAATAACTTTATAAGACCCTACTAAGAATAATTTGTTATACACTTGTGTGAGGTTAATTATGATAGAATTCATTTAATTATAGAGCATTATCACATTGTCCACTAACCAATCCAAGAAGAAAAAAACAAAGGGTTTTAGTCATAATGACTTACCAATAAATAAAATTTTAAAAAGAAAAAAAAAAAAAAAGGAAAAGAAAAATGAAGGTGTTTGTCATCATCATGAGTTGATGTAGCATAATAAGTGAAGGTCCATATTATGTCCCACAGAAAAAGAAAACACATGATTTGGAACATGGGAAAAGAAAACACACACATGATAGGACATCCCATCCCATCTAATCAGTCACATCTATTGTGAAATAACAAAGGAACAAAAAGTTTTGTAAATTTAGAGAAAATTGTGGGCAAACAACTAATTCAATAATCCAAAAAAGAAAATACTTTTTTTTTTCTTCCTACAAAGAAAATACTGCATGATTGACAATAATGGTAAAGTTGAATCTAGATTGCCCTAAGTGACTTCTATAATATTATAGTTAGGTGTTAGTATACATAATTTTAAACATATTAAAAAAATACCTAATTTAAATATCATTAAAAATAATAAATACTATTTAAAATAAAATAAGTTTTTAAGTGACAAAGATATCTCTTATTACTTGAGGCTAAATATTAAAATTTTAAACTATTTATTTCGATACTTTAAAGTCTTAATTCTTAAAAAGTTTTAATTTATCAAACAATCCTTTAGTCTTACTCAGTAAATTGTAATGTAAAAAGAAATACACATGTATAAATATCTTCACAAAAGGACAAAAAATATTTTAAAAAAATATATATCCAAAACAAATTAAGAAAAATTGTTATTAGTTCGGGAATAAAATAAAACTAAGTAGGTATATGTTGGAACCAAGTCAGAACTTGATTTCAGGAAACCCAATGAATATAGTAAAATAAAAAATCAACAAATATAGATTGTTCAAATTTAAATAAAAAAAGAAAGAAAAGGAAAAAATAAAAATAAAAATAACGAGAGAAAAAAATATTATAACTACATATTATTGTAAAACTTTTAATTATAGATTTATTTACTTTAATTTAATTTAATTTTAATTATTATTATTATTATTATTTGAGTATAGTTCTACTAATAATTAGCCATAAGGGTCCAACTACGTTTTTGGAAAGTGACATTTCATTTATACCACTAGTACAAAGAACACAAAAAAAGGATTGTGCCTTTCCGCCATTTTAAACAACTTTATTTACATTCATGAATCAATCAAATCAAATAATTAAACCAATTTCACCTGCTTCTGTTTTTCTTCCTATGATCTGTCTAGTTCTCAAAGGAATATTGAGTAATTTCACACTAAACATACATTTGTTGCTTGCATAATCTATAGTAATAAATAGTTTGAGAATTTTTTTTTTTTTTTTCATTTGCATGTCAGAATGTCATTGGCGGAGAATATACATATATTCTCAAAAATGATTGTTATAATAATACTATTTCTTATATATAATAATAATAATAATAACAAGGTTTTTAGGTAACATTAGCACACATTAAACACATACTTTCTTCTCACCCTTTACTTCATTTCCCATCAGAAAATAAGAAAATACAATTGATATTGAAATTCAGTACTGCTCTGTGTCCACCTTTCTTTTCATCATGCTAGGGTTTGAGGGGAGAAATAGTGTGTGTGTGTGTGAGAGAGAGAGAAGGGGACATGGAGTTGTGCTTATACACCGGTTGAATGACAAGACAGTACACAGTCCATCCATGGAGATAACAAGAGGAAATTAAATTGCAAGTCAAAACACAAATAGGTGTGTGTGTATGTATGTGTGTGTGTGTGTGTGAGAGAGAGAGAGAGAGAGAGAGAGAGAGAGAAGGGGACTTACAGATTCTTGCGTTTGTCCATGAAGGTGACAGGTCTAGAGGAGTAACCAGACGCAATGAAGTGCAGAGTTTCCCCTATAAAAGGCCAGCCTGAGCTTCCTCTTGGAACCCCAATCTTCTTCTCCTTCCCTTCAACAATCCATTTTATCACCTTATACAAACACCACCCACAACTACTACTACTCATCACCAACACAACCCAATATCCCAATGTCCATTCCATCTTTCTCACCAAGAAAATTTATCAATTTTTTTCTTTTCTCCCAAACACTTGCCAACCAACACTCAGAAATATATGATATGGTTTCTCCCTCAATTCCAATTACCTTATATGTATATATATATATACACTAAGTCAAAGAGAGAGAGAGCGATAAAGTAAGTTGTGTTTGGTGATAAGAGAGAATTGAATGAGACGATAATAAAAAAGGAAAAAAAAATATTTGATGGAGTGAGATTTGGAACTCTCAATAAATAAGAAGCCCATCTTTATTTTTGTCCCACACTCCAATCTATAAATGATGCGTTTGGTATCTGAGAAAGAAGGAAGAGAAGGGTAAGTATGGAATATTGTGTAAATTGATTTTTATTTATTTATTTTATTGAAATTTTAAACGGAATTTGAACTCTTCACTCCATCATTTATTAGAAAGTTCGAATATATAATTTTAATTAATATGATGTCATGTAATTAATTAAATGTGTCAATTTTATTAAATTTTTTATTTATTACATATTAATATGTGATTTGCTAAAACCCCATAGTCACTTAATAAACAAGCTTCTCATCATATTAAAAATAATAATAAAAATTTGAGAAAAAAATAAAAAAAGAAAAAGTATTGTTTATATAGTGTATTAAAAGATAGCAATAGCTTAATTAATAGTAAACAGTGTGGCCAGCCCATTTCAAAATGTTGGTCAAAAAAGTTGTAGTAGTAACGTGCTCCTCGTCATCTTCAAAAATAAGGTATAATTGTTAATAGTAATCCATGTGGTAAGGTGTATTTAGGAAGTATAATAAAAATACTACATTATTCATTATTATTATTTTTATTTTACCTTTCAAAACAAAAGATTATAAACTAGTAATTAATACTGTCAATTATTATTATTTCTCCTTCCTCAGTTATTATTACTATTATTTATTAAAATTATATTTTATATACTCTGAAGTTTGTATCCAAGATTTCTGGTAATTAATATTTTTTCATCTTTCAAAAGGAATAAAAGAATGGTTAAAGTTCAAGTCACTAAAGAAACAAAGCAATATATATATATATACTTATATGATAATGATTCTTCAAGTCTTTTCAAACAATATTTAATACATGAACATTTAATAACCGTTACAATATATTTTGTAAGACTGTTCAAAAAATATTTAACACATGAACATTTAATAACCATTACAATTTTAGTAATTTATATACATATACATATATATATATATACACACACACACACACATATTATCTATACATGTTTCAAGAATGTTTCATAAATAGGAAAGAAAAAAAGAAAGAAAAAAGAAAGAAAGAAAGAATTTTTCATAAATATGTTTCTTAAGATATTTTCAAATGATTCTTCAAGACTTTTCAAAAGAATATTTAATACATAGACCATTTAATATTAGTATAATAATATTAATACTTTTCATCATACTTTAGTTCAATCGAGTGTGCTGGAGAGCTATGACCAAATAACTTTTTTTTAAAAAAAAAATGCAATGAACTTATACTTATCTACAATGATTTTAAGCTGTGAACTAAATGAAATAGGTTACCTGTACCGCGGCTGTACGTGTGTGTGTGCGCGCGCGCGCGACACAGAGTGAGTGAGAGAGAGAGAGAGAGAGAGAGAGTTGTTCTTAGTTTTTGGGCAAAGAGTGGGTGCCGAAATAGTCAGCATCTTTCTTCTATGTGCTCTTGCCTCTTACCATCGTCCTGTCTTAATCATTCTTCAGTTCTCTTCAGTCACAACACCTCTCTCTCTCTCTCTCTCTCACACACACACACACACACACATTATGATTTCCAGAAAGGAATAAGAGTGACATATATTTAGGAATTATTAACGTGACAAGATATTGTTGTTACAGAGGGGAAGTGGTATAGCCCTAGGGTGTTTATGGAAGCGCCCATTGCCAAACTGTTTTTGGACCCGAACTATATTTTCTGACTGTTCAACTTCATCAATGAAGTACATTTCACTTTTCGTGCCACTTATGGAGGGGAGGGGTTTGAGCCCGGTACCTCTGTGTGTGTGTGTGTTTGCTTTACCATTCCGGGAAAGAAAAAAATAAAAACACACACACACATGCACACAGTTTGTTGCATGAGATGGTGTGGTGCATGTCAAGAAGTGGGATTTTAGGTTATGATATTCAGATAGTTTTCAATTAACTGGGAAATATTACAGGCATTGAGAAAGTTGCACAAAGAGTGCAAAATATCACACTTGTCATTGACAAATTTGTCCAAAGAGTGCAAAATATCAAACTGTCTTGACCTAGCTCAATATCCAAAAACCACCATGAATGAAGCATACAATTTATACACCATATCACTAAAATGAGTCCAAGCTAATTTCTTGAAGCAGCTTGTTTCTGTTCTTTATAGAAATCATGTTGCTCAAGCACTTTCCTCCTCAATTCATCTATCATGAAAGTCTGATAATTAATTACAATAAGCATATACCAGAAAATCAAACACCTAAGTTAAAGGGGAAACGAAAACCTGTGCCGACACCTCTAAGGAATGTGAATATGCAGCTTGAAAGCAACAACTTCAAACTGGCTCAAGTTTTAGTTACAATCTTTCAAGATCGGACAACCGTAGCCAGAGCAAGTATACCCAAGCATATCGTTGATCCTATTTCGAGTTTCAGTACGAAAGCAAAAGAACTCAACCCTACCTTGCAAAATAAGAAGAGGCTGATCTCACGATTAGTTAATTTAAGGATTAATTTTTTTGCAAAGAACCTTCAAAGACAGCTTCGGTTTCAAGTTCTGTTTCCACAGGCGACAGCTCCTTCATGCATACTGTTGTAAAATGAGCTCAATTTTGTTATAGCGAGTGCTACTCCGAAGAGTGATGCTCTAGTGGATTTCAATATATGAACTTCAACATAATCGCCAACTATTGGATTCCGCTTCCCATCATTATCATCCTTATCCGGGACCGGCATATTTGTAAATATTACCCTATGACCTCTATCACTCTTACCGATTAGCTCTGTGTCAGGAGCTCTCTTATTGGGTCCTTCAACTAACACAAGTTGAACACTACCAATTTGGGAGTCATAACACTGACCTGTACTCCCGCGGAAAACCTCAATGAGTTCTGCCAACCTCCTCTGCTTTACGTCTTCGGGAACATCATCGACATAATTCCTGTTGGCATGGGTTTTCTCCCTCATGCTATATGCAAACATGTATGCCATATCATAACCAACTGCCTTAACGAGACTTAGTGTGTCTTTGTGATCCTCCTCTGTTTCACCACAGAAGCCTGTAAAAAGGAATCAGCAAGTTTTAGGGGACAGAATATTGACAAATAGAAAGTTAATGGTTCGTTTATTTATTCACTTTTTAGCTAAAGGTAAAAATTGTAAACCATTAGCTTTTGGCTAAGGCACATATCACAACAGCAAGTTTTTCGCTGTCTCAATAAAACCATCTGCTGTCAGTTTGAGCAGCATCCCCTACCACCTACAAAGGGGAGGAGTAGGGTTTTAAGTCCCATTTGTTATTTGAGGAAGGAACTAAAACCAGGCATTAAGAAAATGACACGTGGCAAAAGCATGCAGAGCACAAACTGCCGGACCACTTGAGGGAGAAAGCAATGATTAAGTAATTAATGCCCAAACAACAAAAGCCGAGGAATCACGAAGAAGCGCCACGCATCAGGTCGACAGATGAAACCAACTAGAAGGCCTGCGGAGCTCAGCAGGGCTCAGCAAAGCCCTCCCCTGATAGGAGGACGGCTTCAGACTTGGGCCCAAACCAAGAAAGTGAAGCCCACAGCTTGCAAAGAGTTATTTTTGAAGGCTTAGCTCACATAAAACAGATATGGAATAGAAAGGTACGATTTATGCCTAAGATAGTGGTCTGCCGCCAATAAAAGTGCATTGACACTAATTTATTTATTTATTTTTATGTATAAGTTTTACACTCTCATCAATGATAAGACTACAAGTGGTACCTTACCCATAGTCCATATAAATGACTTTTTCTAACTCGATAAAAACATGTGCTGTATGCAAGTTATTTATAAAGGTAATAACAATGGTCGTTCAACCTATTCCACTTCTTTTATGTGTGAAATAAACAGGAACATACATAATTTTAAACGTTTCCAACATGTTTTGGATTATCCAGTAACTCCAACTTTGGGCTCATATGGTCTTCAATGTGCAACATAGAATGGTAACTCACAACTTGTAGTTTAGTTTTCCATTAGTATAAAAACATCCTTAATGCTTAATGGAATTAGTGCAATTTCATTCAAAATATAACTCTAAGTGTAAGCAAAAATAATATGATAAAGACTCACCACATATGAAATCACTGGTTATCCCCACATCTGGAATTATTCTACGAATCTTCTGCACAAGTTCTAAGTATGCCTCTCGAGTATATCCCCTACGCATTCTTTCAAGAACTGAACTACTCCCTGTTTGTGCAGGCAAATGGATACTTTTGCAGATATTATATCTGTTTCGCATTACATACAATAACTCATCTGGGTAATCTTTAGGATGTGGGGAAGTATATCTGAACCGCATTTCTGGAAACTCTACAGCAAGTCGATCCAGGAGATCAGCAAAACGTAATCCCATTTTTTTCACCTTGCACGTGCTGGCAAAGCCTTCACTAAATTTCCAATTGACTCCTGGCTCAACCCCACTTTCAACCCCAGATGCATCATTATAGCTATTTACATTTTGTCCAAGAAGTGTTACCTCTTTCACACCTTCTTTCCAAAGTTCTGCCACCTCCCTCACAATTGATTCCACAGGACGTGACCGTTCTCTGCCTCTAGTAAAAGGAACAATGCAAAAAGAGCACATATTATTGCAACCCCTCATCACGGATACAAAAGCAGCAATTGAACTTTTAGATATGCGAACAGGACTGATGTCGGCATAAGTTTCCTCAAGTGAAAGAAGAGTGTTGATCCCTTTTTGACCATAGTCCACTTCTTCTAACAGTCGTGGCAAGTCCCGGTAAGCATCAGGTCCACAGACCACATCAACCATCTTATCTGCATCTAATATCTTATCCTTTAACCTCTCAGCCATGCACCCCAGCACAACTACTTTTGGAGGGTGCAGGGACTGTGACCTCCCTATAGCAACATTGCTCTTCCAGTGCCTCTTTAGAAACCAAAAATAATTAAGTCTCTGCCACACCTTTTGCTCTGCATTGTCCCTGATAGCACAAGTATTGATAAAAATTATCTCTGCACTCTCAGGAGCCTCCACAACATCACTATATCCAGCTTTCTTCATAATAGATAATACAATCTCCATATCATTGATATTCATTTGACATCCATAAGTTTCATGATATATACGACCTCTTTGAAGAACTTCAGAAGCTGATACAGGGCTAGACAGAAAAACAAAGCATAAAAGTTTGAGTTTTATTTCGCATAATGTGCAATACTGTGATATATTATTGAATTGACATTATAACTTATAAGACTTGCACACAAAAGTTTCCGAGCTTCAGTCACAAAAACACATATCTCATAAATACTGGAAACTAATCAAAATATATATAGAAAGAGGTCTTATACATAAATTCTACAGAGTCTGCCAATAAATTAATGAACTGTCAGAATCTTCAATCAACAACCTGCACCCGGTTGTGTTACTTTAAACTTCGCAAATGATTGATATAACCAATGTTTAAGCTCAAAGTGCTAAAGCAGTAACTTAGGAGATCAATAAACAACTGTTTTCAAATCTCAAAAGGGACATGATTTTCTTTTCTTTTCTTTCTTCTTCTTCTTCTTCTTCTTCTTCTTTATTATTTATTTTTCTTGAGAAGTAAGAATTCATTAAAAAGCACTCAAAAGGGGAGCACGCCCATATACACCTGCACAAAGACCGAAAAAACACTAAGCTCTCAAGCTATCCACTAAATCTACAATGTCCTCCATAACTTTACAATTCCACACTTTGACCCAAAAAATTGAGAACTCAATATGGAACAGGGACACAATTTTCCGGCATTCAAAAAAATTCATTGGAATCAAAACAGTAGTTTTAAGCATGATGAAAATACGCTCATGCTTCGTTTGGTATGAAGGATGGAAAAACTGGTGAAAGAGATTGTAGGAAGGATGGATAAGGCATTCATAGAGAAGCTGGGAAGGGAAGGTGTTTTTCCTCCTTTTTTGTTTGGTTGAGTAGAAGGGAGTTAAAGGAGGTGACACCTTCCAATATTTTGGTAAGAGGAAAGTCAATGACATGTTTTATATTCTTTTACCATTGTACCAATGTACCCCCATTATAAAATCTGACAAAATTTGATAAAGTGTAATAATATCACTTTGCAATATATATCCTTCTATTCCATCTAATTTTGGAGGCATGAGAAATGATGGACCAGGAGGGCTCCCTAAGTCATTGATCCATCCTTCTCTTTCATCTAGCTTTCCCTCGTAACAAACAATGGAGACTTGACCCATCCCTCCTCTCTTCCCTCCCTTCCCTTCCTTCCCTCCTGCCAAACGTACTACGTTACTAACAAAGAAATGCAGCAGTGAAACAAACAAAACAATCTAAGGTAGGCATCCTCAAGTTGTTCAACAAAGAGCTTCCCAAGTCAACATCACCATTTATCATAAGATTGGTAGACTTGGGAATGGTTAAAGTGAGATTGCTGAGTTGGGTTGATGGTGAGGGTTCCCATTGTGAATCAATGAGTGAATTGACTCGGGTGGGATTCCAAGTCAATGACTGATTTTATAAAGAATTATTTATTTCTCTTTAAAATTAAGATAAATAAATAGAGGATAAAATTGCAGTCTCGTTGGTTCCTTTAACACTGTTTCCCAGCAATATTAAGGGAGGTTAGTGTAATGAACTTCAGAAGAACTCTCTGCTTTAGGCAAACTTCATGCAGATCAGTTTTAACTTACCCAAGAAAAGTCCATTACGCAATGTTCTCAACGATGCTGGGTTTTGCAAAGATGATTGGAAATAGAGTAAGACCTAGTTTTAGTCATTATTTGCAAAAGTTGCTAACTTTGGACCTGTATTGCCCTAAAAGTACCATATACTACATTCAAGACTAGAACAATAGAAATTTTTACTATTATTTCGCTTATGAAGATATCATCCAAATATTTTGAAGAACCAAGGAATCTTAGAAGCTTTAAAGTAGATCTCTAAACATCAACCATAGTTTTTTAACAATCTTTTTGTTCTTTCTTCCATTTTAAAATTTTAATATGTTTTTCTTTTGAGACACTTTAGCTCTCTCTCTCTCTTATTTTTCTTTTTATTTTTTTACTGGGAAGCCATTTCATTCAAGTTCAAATTCAATTGCCAATATTCAAAATGAAGGACTTGATCCCCATGTGGTCAAGTATCTTTGTATAGATGCATTATGTCGAATTTTAACAATCTTTTTTTTTTTTTTTTTTAAATCTTTATGAATATATTTCTAGATTTAGCCATACATATTCATTGTTTGTATTTTTCCCCTTTCAATTCTTAATATTTCTACTTTCTACTCACACGAATTTTGGTATTTTTGTAGTGTTTTTATTAAAAAAAGAAAAGAAAATGAGTAAAGCTTTAAAAAGGAGTACAATGTTTAGGGCAGTCAAATTCATATAAACCATATGCATCACAATGCACCAACCTAAATGTGAAAAGGTGAGTGGGGATGCTAGGGGTCCTGGGCAATAGCTTTACAACTTTCTGCAATAGGTTGCATTTTAGTTATTGTAGACAAAGATTAAGGAAACATTTATTGGGGACAATATAAAGAGCAACTTTGTTCAGAAAGTATAAGGAGAAGAAGCAACTGGACAAACCTATTCTAGATTATATGCGTTTAGGAAGCAAGTAGGTGTATCGAACTTCGTTTAAATTGCTATAGGAGGGATCAATTAAAAGGTTGAGGACTACAAATGATCCAAGCCAAGCTTGAGATTGTAAAGGCTTGCCTCTGGTTTTGACAAGCTCAGAAAGCCAAAATTGAGTTTCTCTCAGGTTGCTCTCAAACAGGCTCAACTTGGGTCGTTAGCTCTTGACAAATTTATTTATTTGTTATCCTAGTTTTTTATACTTTTATATTTTTATTCTAATTTATTAATTTCTTTACCAATAAAATAAGTACATAACTTACTAAAATTATGACAGAATTTTCTATAAGACGTGTTGATGAGCTAAGTTATACTAGCCTTAACCCACCACCTCTGTACAAGCAAGGTGTTCACGATCCTATATGAGTCAAGCGAGACATTGTTCAGACTCGGTTTGTTTTGTAAATGACCTCATAAACAAGCTCGAACTCAATTCATTTGCTTAATGAACGAATATGAGCTGGGCTAAGCCATTCATAAACAGTTTTCAATTGCAGCACCATCAATGAAGACTAGAACTAAAATCTTATTCCTAAAGATCCTAAAAGAAAACCCTTGAAGAAAATTCCTCTACCCAACTACCTCAGCAGGCAGGTTCACTGCTTGTTCACATTTCAAGTAGAAAGGGTAAAAATTTATATGCCAGATATGAACTGACCAATAAAATTTAGTCTAATCAAAGCCAGTTACTGTAAGGCTCTTTAATTATACCCAGAACTAGTTGCATCCTAATAACAAAGGAGAATTCTGAAACCCATAATCACATTTCATAATAACAAAGGAGAATTCTAGCCCGAGCTATTCACTAGAATTTAAATTCATCGGCAGCCCCATCAATGAAAATTATGCTAATTAACATCTTGTTCCTAAAGATCCTAAAATAAAAACATTTGAAGAAAATCCATTCACCCAACTACCTCAGCACTGCTAGTTCATACTTAAAAGTAAAAAAGGAGAATTCTGAAACCCATACTCACATTTCATGACATTTCTGATATTTCAAGAACAGAACTTCACATTCAATTATTAGGAACCAAAACACATAAATCAAAACCGATAAATTCTAATATTACACAGAAGATATCATATCATTACCAATAGAAACATCATTTCATCGGAGTGTGAACAGAGAACTCACTCGGAAAGCTGGGTCTCGGAAGCAGTGACAGCGGCTTGGGCAATGAAGTGATGGAGACTTGGAATTTCGGTCTTGTTGGAGAGAGGAAGTTGAGATTGAGAGAATTTCCTGGAGAAGTTGAGAGAGAAAATACGATTGAGCGGACGAGACACGCGATGGTGGCAAATGTATGAGATTAATTGGGGGTTTGAGGAGAGAGGTCTGAGATTGAAAGCACATCGTCTTGGAATTCTGATGCGAATTGCACAGTGAGGTTGGTTGAAGATGGAGGAGAGAGAAGCTGCCATGAGAGAGAAAGAGAGAGATTGTGTTCTGTGTCGTCTGTGCTGCTAAAAGCTGGATAGGGCGAGAGTGGCGATTTGGGCCGTTATGGGCTGGGCTTTATGAATAATAATTTCTGATCCAGTTGATAAATCACAGTTAATTAGCTTTCACTACTGGTACAGTGCAAGTTCGGGAGAGTGCCAAGTGTTGGTTGATTTAAAAGAAAAAAAATATTAAAACATAATAAAAATAATTTATTTATCAATTTTTAATAATTTATTTTATACGCCCCACTCAATGAATACAAAGACTAAGATTGTATTGTGACTATATTTAGTATTTTCCCAACAAGCAAAGTGAATGTGTGAATTGTCTTTACATGTCTCACTAAATAAATTTAAAAATTAAAATTGTACCGTAAATACACTTAGCATTCTCTCGAGGTGTAAGAAGTGAGAACTAATATTCACTTCGTAATTCATTAGAAACCTTTTCTCAAATTTATTGGAACTTCGTTTTGGTACAATGGTTTGGGTTTTTTTATTTTATTTATTTTTCTGTTTCACTATTTGCTTTTGATTGTAATTCTTTATGATACATTAATATTTTTTGGGTCAATTGTGAACCCACCAACTTTGGATAACTTTTTTAAACACCATCCTTATCAGCTATCATTGTTTTGATCGTATTCTACTAAAAGAGATGGCTTTGGTTACACAGCAGATGTTGAGCTCTCTATTTTGTTAGATCAATCCTATAATCTCACTGTCATTCTTTTTCTTATTTTTTTAATTTAATTTTAAATACTTGAAAATATGGATTCTGGAAGAAGAAAAAAAAAAAAATTCAAGGTCAGAGGACATGTTTTATTCAAAGTCGCGTCACTTCGAACATTATAAATATTAATGTCATTTATCATTCAACCAATTAACTGCTATAGGTCATCAAATGAACAAGGCCACCAAATTTTGACTTTCGCCGATTAAAACCCACCAACATACTTTTCCATACCGACTATTGAAAAATCAATAGACACGGCTGTTCTTGAGCTGCGAACAACCCTCTCTCTCTCTGTCTCTAGCAAAGATCGCAGAGAAAGAAAAGTTGGGAATTTTTTTGGACAACATGATGGGGATGATGATGTGTGGTGTCAATTTTCAAAGGATCAAAACAAATGGTATATGGATGAATTTTGTTGAGCAAGGGACAGGGCCACTTGTTCTTCTCCTCCATGGCTTCCCTGAACTATGGTTTTCTTGGCGGCATCAGATCACCCACCTGGTTAACCATGGCTTCCATGTGGTTGCACCTGATTTGAGAGGCTATGGTGACTCTGACTCTCCTCTCAGTCCCTCTTCCTATACTGTTTTCCATATAGTCGGCGACCTCATCGGCCTTCTTGATCACTTTGGAGAACAACAGGTCTGAATAAACACCACCCCCCTCTCTCTCTCTCTCGCTATATATATATATATATATGTATAACATCAACAATCAAGCCTTTTCCCGATTACTTAGAGTTGACTACATGAATTTTTCATTTCCATTCCACTCTATTAAGGCCTTGATCACTTTGGAGAACTGCACCTCCTCTCTCTGTCTCTCTGTATGTGTGTGTGTGTATATATATATAGACACACACAACAACAACAACAATCAAGCATTTTTTCCGGTTATTTGGGGTCGGCTACATGAATCCTGTGTTACCACTCCTCTCTAGTCAATACACATGCTATCATATCTTCTATTCTATGTGTGTGTGTATACAAAGATATATTGTAAGAAAGTTTCACTGTTGTTTCTTGCATGGTGTTGAAGGCTTTTGTGGTGGGAACAGACTGGGGAGCAGTGGCTGCTTGGCATCTCAGCTTATTCAGACCTGATAGAGTGAAGGGAATGGTTTGTCTATCTGTTCCATTCTCACCCAGGTCTAATATCAACTTTACTCAATCCTTCAAGCAGATGTTTGGAGATGGGTTCTACATCTCTCAGTTCCAGGTACCCTTTCTCTCTATATGTATATATTTACCTGTATCTAATGTATGTATGTAATATATCAGTCACTGAAAGGTTGGGATGGGTTTAATATAGGAACCTGGGAGAGCAGAGAAGGCTTTTGCAAGGTATGATTACGTGACGGTGATGAAGAAGTTCTTTCTGATCAGCAAGACTGATCTGCTGATAGCTCCTCCTGGCATGGAGATAATAGATTATCTAGAGACACCGTCATTGTTGCCACCATGGATTACAGAGGAAGAACTCCAGGTCTATGCAGACAAGTTTCAGGAGTCTGGCTTCAACGGACCTCTCAACTACTACCGTGCCATGGACCTGTGAGTGTTTCACACTTCTTGACTTTGACAACAGCTATGGCTCTAAGCAATATCAATCAAGAAAACCAAAATGTTACTTATTCAAACTGTAGTGCATTTTCACATCCATATTGACACAATATAGTGAAACTTAAACACATATAGTATATTTACGTACAAAGGTCTCATTTTCATCAATCAAGAAAACCAAAATGTTAACTATTCAAACTGTAGTGCATTTTCACATCCATATATACACATATATTCGAATTGGTATATTTACATACAAGGGTCTCATTTTCTTGTGTTCCTGTGCAAGAACTAAGAACCTGTGTTTGTCATGTAGTTTTTCAAGCAGTTGAGATTTGCAGTTTGATATGTCTGCATGAATGGAAGTTAAATCATCTATATTTGATTCATGTAGTCTCAATTCAACTGCAGAACTTAATTCAGCACTTAAAGATAATTCAATTTCGGCTCGCAGGAACATACCTGACTAACCATTAATCTTTTTGCTATCTTTGACCTAAATTTTATCAACTGATGACAGCAATTGGGAGCTTCTTGCGCCATGGCAGGGATCGAAAATAACAGTACCAACAAAGCTCATAGTTGGTGATAAAGATATAGGGTTTGATTGTGGCGGCACAAAGGAATACATACAAGGAGATGTTTTCAAGAGCCTTGTCCCCAACCTTGAAGTAGTCATTCTAGATGGCCACCATTTCATCCACCAAGAGAAAGCTCAAGAAGTCTCGGATGAGATCCTGTCTTTCCTCCGTAAATTTCCTGTAGCTTAGCAGAAAATACTTTGGGATGGAATCAAAATTATGATTCGACAAATAAATAATCTTCACTTATTTCAGTGTGTACTGTTTTCACTTTTAGCTGAGATGCAACAATGCTTTTCTTAGATGAATGTGGTATAAACAATGCATAACGCCATCACTCTTGTGTGTTACGATGAGAGCAGGGATCATGTTTCCCTACTTGAATGAATTTTGCTGATGCTAATATATCAGCTTATAATGCAACTCCAGACAGAATAAAAGTGGAAATCAAAAATAAACAACAGTGACAATTTAATTTGGAAAGATCAAGTGAAATCTTATAGATTGATTTCCCAGATCACAATTGCCTAATTTGCTAACTAGAAAAGGCATTTAAAAAGGGATTGAAGTCAAACAGTAACATCAAAGAGAGTCGACGAAATGCAAGGCAGAAAAAATTGAAGGCCACTGAAGGAAGGCCCTCTGGATATGGTTCTGATGACCAGTCATACCAAACCAAGTTGCATTATTCAAACAACAAACAGCAATTTACTATAAATTCCAATGTTAGCATGACTGCAAAATAAAGTAAATCACAATCCAGAAAACCAAAATATGAATAATAATTTGAGTACTACCTTGCAAAATCACGACACCTGGAGTAATGATCTTGTAAAAGGACACTGAGCAGTGAGAATCACACATCATTCTTTCCCTTCATACCGTGTATAAGAAGACTAGAAATCAATAATAATGGATCCAATTCACAAATCTTGTGACCACTTGCATCAAGTTGGCAGCATCTACTATATAAATGGGGAGACTGACAATATCCTAAATGGTTCGCCACCAGCTAACCATTCTTTTCTTTTCTTAATTTTTTCTTCCGGTAAGTAAAATCAGCTTTCTTTCTTTCCGTGGTTTAAACCAGATTCCGAATTGGCTATTTATTGTGCTCAAAGCTACCAACATGCCCAATCAAAAACAGGTTCAAAAACTTGGTAAGAGACTGCTTAATCAGCCAAATTTATGAGGTCAAGTCACCCAGCTGGTATAATCTTGATATGAGTATCATCATTCTCTCTAGCAAATCTAAGAAATATATAAAACATTTCAGATCTCAATACCGCCTAAAACATGATATATTAGTACAAAATCTATTCATGCATTTACTTTAAATAAAGAGACCTAGAGAAACAATGCACATAGCCTGTAATCCAGAGGAAGCAATAGACATATCTCCAAGTCAGCAAGCAGGTCATAGTTCATGAAACTCAATAGCTGAACCAAGAAGTCTTTACAGAATCTTTCCATATTTTCTTCTAGGATCTATATATATATCAAGCAGGTAGGAAACTTACATATTGTACACACAGCTGTGAGGAAGAAAGGATGAGAGCTGAGATGATGACAATGGCCAATGCCCCGCGTTGATTAAGCTAATGTTGTTGTTTTTTCCTCCCAGAAGACCTAAAAGCATCAAATATAGAACTGAACAGTATGTGCAGCTAAAGTGCCCTGTGGTTCTAACCATGGGCACGGGACGGTCTAGGACAAGACCACCATTGAGCCGACAATGTACAACCAGAGCAATTATAAGTGCATTTAATAGTATAGCATGGCTTTTCATATCTATAGAGTACAGAAATGAAGAAAAATTTTAAAGAAGTTTTATGGTACCTAATGGTGTGTGGCGCATAGAAGGATTGGATATGTGAAGCCACTATACAGTAGTCTAATACGTCACCAATATTATTATGCGAGAGTACTTGACTAGCATAAAACCAAACTTATGAGTAATCACAATTCCTTGGTACTGTTTCCTTATTCAATATCATAAACCTTGAAGTAGTATGTTCTTGATAATCAATGAAGCACTTAAACGAAAGGCATCCCACAGGCAATGAAGAAGTCACTGCAGTTCCACCATGTAGTTGATAAACGTGGAAGCAATGAATGGATGTATTTTGCATTATAGAGTTAGACTTGTGATACACACGTCATTGACATTTAATTCTTCTTTCACCGCAGAAATTTAAAAATTGCCATTGCTATCAAATATATATTAAGGAGAAGGAAAAACTAAAAAATGTCAATCAATCTTTGATCGAAATTTTAGCGTATTCAGGACATTCTCATACACAATAAATGTTATTGATGCTGCAGGGGCATTTTTCAGCAGGTTTGCTGTGATGCCCTTGTAAAAACCCCGCAAACCCTCAAATCTGCAAGCCCAAAAAGAAATACAATTAGTTGAAGTGTGTAATGACATGAAGCTTTTAACTAAGACAGCATGTTCTTCAATAATGATGCAAACATATTTTTCTTGTTGAGAATTTTAGACCAATAACCCCACCATATCTCTTGTAATTCACAACTTTCTGATCAGATTTTATGGGAGGATGTAATGATAACCCTAGAAAGTTCTGTCCGGTCCTTGAGCACCCAATCTTAAGGGAGAATTATTTAACTTTGCCTGTTTTTGTCTGAGATACATTTAATGATGTTAATTTATAATTTTGAAATGCCTAGAAGGACATGACAATGCTACAATCAGATGACATATAATTCAGGAAAACGATCCTAAGGACAAACCAAATCACCAATCAAGCAGACCAAACAGCTGAGAAAGAACAATGTTTTTCTATTATTCCTCCGATGACAGCCAGAAGATAATTTTAGAGGGTTCTTTTGAGGAAAACTAGAAATTTGTTCTCACCTTGCAGTTTCCTTCACAACATGCCAGCTATCCACATATCTTGGAATTCCATCTTTACTGGGCCGTTGCTGCAGTAGGAGAAAAAGATATACAAATTTCAGCTATTGCAGAATAGAAGGAAAAAATGAGAATAAAAAAGTTATGCAGTATCAGTATCACATGAGAACAAATTTTGGCAGTTTATTCTCTTCTTACATGAAAAACTATATATATATATTTTTTTCCTAAATACATGAAAAACTATATTAATTTGACAACCACACGTATAGAGAGCAGACACATTAACTTCAGAACTATTTTAATACCTGCAATCGAGCTCGAATAACCTAAAACAAATAGCAATGCAACCACGTTAAAAACAATGATCAACTACTACATTACAAATCCATATATAAGGATTTTACACCAACAAATATGCCTACTTGAAATGGATATGTCAAAAGAATGGCAGCCAGTTTAGATGATGCCCCCAGCGTAGCATAATCAACTGAATTCTGTGAAAAATAAAAAATAAAAAATATCAATAGACTGTTAAAACTTATAAACTGGTGGAAGGCAAAGTCGGTTAAAAATATATATACAGATGATGCACTCCTCAATATCACTAAGCATGGATCAGAGAGTGGGTAGAAAAGAGTTAGCCCAGTGCATGAGGCTCCCGCCATTGTGGGGTCTAGGGAGGGTCAGATGTATGCAGCCTTACCTCCGCATGAGGCTGTTTCCCGTTTCAAACCCGTGACCTTGAGGTCACAATGGAGCAACCTTACCGTTGCACCAAGGCTCACCCTAAATTGAACTTACCTGAGTTTGCATGAGTAAATGCAACAGAAAAGCAACTAAGAAACAACCACATTAGCATCCAAATCAATGAGTAATCAAACCAAGAAAATCTAATTTAATCTCCTACTGAACAGTTTGAACCCAACCTGAGCATAGTTGCATGAAATTCAATGGTGCTTGAGCTTGGTTAGCATGACCTCAATGCTACCGACCTGACCTTGAGCACTAAGCTTGGCTCAGCTTGTTCACATTCTACTTGGGGATGGAGGGAGGACCATCACTCTGGACACTGATATGGTCCCTACTAGATTTAAAGGGGGTGTGAATAGGTCTTACAAAACCCTAACTATCAATAACAAATTTTCACTATTTTATTTAAACAAACACAACTAGAAATATAAAAAGAATAAATAAAACCGATAATTAAATAACGATCTATCAAGAACACCAAATTTATGTGAGAATCCCATAGGAAAAATACTACAGGACCCTAGACCAGAAAGATCAAATCCGCTATGTATTACAATTTTAAGAATCAGATTCTAACTCCCATAGAACCACCTACATCACCTAAGATCCAAACTTAGCCAGACATTCTACTAGAATTCCGTAGCTGTCAATCTACGAATCCTTTCACCAACACGTTCCACTCTCACTGTGTTTGCTCTTCATAGCTAGCAATCCAACTCCCTTGTTCCTGGTGTGATTTTGGTATTAAATTCTCTGACGTTCCTCTAAATTTGAAATCAATACTCTGAATAGAAAAATAAATGCTCTCTTAGTTGCCTATATGCGCTCAATGATGCTATAAGTATGTGCATGTCTTTTCTGTATATGTATTTGAGAACCTTAAGAATGTTTATATATTGTTTCTGACTAAAAGAATTATGATTTTAGAGTTAAAAACAAAATAGGAAACTTTGTCCGCACAGTTAGATCGATCCACTCCAAGTTCAATTTATTGAAGTTGGTCACTAAGGATCCAACTCCCCTGTTCTTCATAAAACTTATTTTTTAAGAAAAAAAAGTTTGTATGCATTCTAAAATGTGTCTACACCTTAATCATATTGATTATATGAAAGCACAAAATAGAAATCTAATGGTGAATCAAGTATTAATGATATGAATTTAACTTTCTACGCTTGTCATGATCTTCAAACACCTTGATGTTCAATAGTCCATGGATCGCGAGATTTCTAATCCTAACTAACATTCAAACATAAGCAAACTAAAAATAAAAATATACAGAGACTGAATTTTGGATGAAATTTGCCAACAATGAGTCTCAAAGACCTAACAAGGATGTATTGTATTCATGGTTAATCGGCTCCGGAGTTAGCAGGCATTTCTTATAAGTTGTATTATTATTTGCACTTGTTCAGGATTAGTTGATTGACTGTGCATGACCTCAGGCATTTCAAATTGTTGAACCCTTCTAATGGCAAGACCACTAACTTCTTCCAAACGATATTCTTAAAAGGCCTCTGTGAGTTTTTCAGGTATATTTTGTGTTTCTTCTTCTTTCCATATTCCAACTCTATTGTGCACCCACCACATCAATAACCCTTTTTATCCCTAAAACCCGTATGCATGATCCTAAATTTCTGTACATACTAGCACATAACGCCCACTTTTCCTTGATGCCCAGAAATGCTTTCAAGTTAAATACTTTAATTCCAAACTAAACTGAGCCTGAAAAATCTCAATCAATTCATTAAAACTTAATATTATCATCTTGGTTGTGAAGCTTAAGAGACGAAATCAGCTAAAAACAAATTCCATCTTAAAGACAATAAAGGAAATCACCTTTCTCCACTTAACAAGCTGGGGCCAGGACCGCCAGGTAGATCCTACCCACGACAATAAAATACTTTCAAGCAGTAAAATAGGTTCCAATGTTATAGTATACATGAATGTAAATGTAACAAAAAGTTTGTAAGGTACATGCACATTCATATTGGTAACTGGTCCCAAAATTTCAAATGAGCATTATTGCAAGGACTTACCAACAGTGTGTCATCACCAGAATTCTCTTTCCTTTTTTTTGACTTAAAGTTAACAACAGCTTTACGAAGCTCCTCATATGCTGTGAATTGAATAGCACCATGGGTAACCTGCTAAAGCAACACAAAAACGGGTAAGTTGCAGAAACAATAAACATATAGAAAGCTTCTGCGGTGTCAACCACCTGAAAGGTTAGATCCCTAAACTTCTACTCACAATTGTTGCATTCTATGCAAATTACTAATTTTACTAAATTGTTACTGTTTCTCCTTCTCTTGGAAGGGGAAACAAATTGATAATTGATTATATAAAAAAGGATAAGTTGGCTATACCAGCACATTGTAAAAGTGAAATTACAAAAAAGAAATTAAAAGTAAAAAGAAAGAAAGGTTAACAAATAAATAAATAAATAAATTATTTTACCAGAAAGAGACTAGGCACAATCCCTTTATAAAGTGCAGTCCACCCTTCTTCTTTCAGTATGGTTCTTAAAGCATCTGAAATTAAAAGACACCAAAAAAGGTTACACATTCAATAAGCAGAAAACAAGAACAAACAAGTACATATATCATGTAAGCACACACCACAAATACATACACGTGTAAATACATAAATTACAAAAGCATAAACAAGAACTTCTGACAAGGATGCCATTAATACTTTCTACAATGTAAAGAAGTGTTGAATTTTTCAAGTTTGAATATCTCACTAACGAGTTCTCCAAGAGCTAAAAAATTGCCATGTAAACAAGCGAGGAGGTCATAGCTATGGTGGTGTTGAAGTTCTAAGTTTGAACATCTAAATCTGATGTCCCTAATTAAAAATCTCTTATATATAACAAAAAGTTTCTGTATAAACAAATACAAATACATAAAACAATGTAATCAATCTAATGAAAGGGACTAAATAATCTACCAGAAACTCTGACTGATGTCGAAAAATATATCAGTAATGTTAGCACACAAAAGAACAGTTAGACTAAAATTGATTACAAATATTTTGAGCCAAAGTTGATGACTCGTAAAGGAAAAAAAGGATATCACAAATAGCATGTTTTGACTAGTCAATATAAGATGTGAAGAAGACCATGAAACCCAGAATATGGTCGAGATTGATGAAGAGGAGTCTGAAGCTGCAATCTTGTTTTAACAAGCCAGACAGGATTCGTGCAAAAAGAGACCTGACATAGCCACAAGGTTGCTCTTGTAAGTAAGACACAAACAGCACTTTTATGAACATGTACAGAAGATATAGAATTAAAAAATAAAAAAAAAAGTATTCTAAATCATTCAATTTTTTGGAAACAAAATCTGCATAGCTCCAAAACAAGAATATGACTAGACACCAATTTGCCTCAACAATAATGGTTCAAAGTGTTGTGTAACACTTAAAAATGAGTTGCATAATTTGAAATATAATAATACTTTGACCTCCAATGCAATGGTTTCAAGACTTAAAGCTATTGGAAACCAGTGGACCCTGCATGGTAACAGTAACACAACACCTCATATGATGTTCAAACAAGAGCCATTGCAAATTCCAGCTAAATATTGACCTCAAGCTATTCTTCCCAGTCAACCCATTTTAAAATACTAACCAAAGCTCCTGCTTCTGCAGCTGAAGCGAGATGAAGACCCGGGCTCAGCTCCTCCCTGTTTCTTAAATACCTTTGTTTGGCTTTACTATAGCTATAATCAGAACAAAAGTATTAAGTTTATATGTCAGATGGGCACATCTTTCAAGGAAATAAATAAAATTGATTGAAATCCAAGTGAAATCACACCAAGTAAAGGCCAAGTGCTCTACTGAAATAGAATCGATTGAATTTCCTCTATGACATTCAAGAGAATAGTAAACAGAACAACCACCACGGACAACACCAAATCTTATATTCAAAACAACTCCCTGTGTAACTTCCATGGAATTTGATCTCTTAATTTTACCAGGGGATATCCAATAACAATTGAAATGGAAGAATGCGGATATGATAGTAAGCTGCTTATTTATTTGCATCCTTAAAACTATATTTCATTGTCAAATTGTATAATCACATGTATATTTTCTTTTTTAAATATGAAATATTGAATCAATTAGCTAAAACAACCTCATTTTGTCAAGGTAAATGTACCATAAGCAAGCTACCGACACAGATACATAATAATATTTCACCATTAATCCATCTTCCATAGATAGATTGTGTGAGATATATTAAGTAATAAAAAAGAAGAACATACTATGGGTACAACGTAGAATAAATAGTGAAAAGTAAAACTAACACTCAGATTTTTTTTTTTTTTTTGATAAGTAAAATTTATTGAAGAACCACTCAAAAGGGGAGCGAGACCCAAGTACAAAAACAAGGCCAAAACGCCTCAAGCCTTCAAAGAGGCCAAGAAAACAACCAATTCCTCTATAGATCGAAAATCCCTCCCTAAAACCCAACAAAAAAGAGTGGAAAGAATAAAGAACTTAAGCATAGAGATAGGCTTTTCCTTTCCATTGAAGTATCTCCGATTTCTCTCAAGCCAAATACACCACCAAACACAAAGAGGCGTAGCCCTCCAAGCGTCCCGAATGAGTTCCAACACTCAGAATTTCCCAAAGCAAATGGGGAGATTCCAAAACAGAATGAACTCCCAACAACAACCGACAAAAGCTAAATGCACACAGATGCACACACAAGCATAGAGCAGAACATATTGAATGTACATAGGTTAGATGAAAGTTCCAAGCCCATAAGCATTTAATTTAACGGAACCTTTACCATATCACAGTATAAGGACTAGTTAGCAAATTCATTTATATCCACAATTGGATATAACCCTGACATTGGCACTTACAAGAAAAAATATAGGCCCCATGAAATCGTTGATCCAAGAACTGCAGGATAAAAGCCTGCATAAAGCCCTCTAAAGCCCTGAAACAAGGAATAATATGATTACTGAGAAATGCTATAGCTGAAAAATTATATAACTTTAGAATGTTTCAAGGAAAAAGATAATAATTTCCGTTATGAAAAAAATGATAATAACCGACAATGAGAGCCCATAATCAATTTACTCACCGACCTGTACCAACAATCCTTCCAATGGATGTTTATTGTATTTGAGCCCATCACAAGTAAATTCAACTCTCTCCCCTACCTACCATTATACTATTCCAAGTATTATCCATGAACAATTCCATACAAAAAATAAAATAAACTAAAATAAATTTTAGGCCAGAAATCACACTGATTAATGACATGCTTTTTAATTTCCGTGTCACTTCCAACAAAGTAATTGTCTATTGTAGTTCTAGCTTGAGAAGAGCCACTAATCAGTCACTCTAAATGGGATTTCACTTTAACTTGCATACCACTGTATCAGTACGCCACTTCAAGAACTCTGTAGATAGAAGATAAAATTCAATATATATTTATATAGTTAAGGCTCTCGGAATTGGGTTTTCATTTATTATTGATTAATAATATAAGGAGATTATTGAATAAAACAGCAAAAGTTGGGAGAAACTAAATATGGATTGATATATATATATATATATAGGTATACTAGCGTAGATGTAAAGGATGAGAATTGATAAAAATAGAAACCCTAAGAGCTCAGAAATGTGGATTGTAGAAAGTTAAAGAAAGAAAAACGAACCTCTGTGCGAGCAATGGTGAAGAGAGCGTGTGGAGTGTTCTTGTAGTTTGGGAGGGTGTTGACTCGACCGTCGTTAACTGAAAATTACACAGTCAAATCAAACAGATCAAAATTTCAGTAGAAATTGATCGATATACATACATATATATACACACACATCATAGCATGTGAATATATAGAGAGACCTTGAAACCTAGTGCGGATAACATCGAAGGGATGGGAGAAAGCGGCTGTTGCAACTCCGGCAACGGCGCCGGCGGTGGCGTTCTCCCATTGCCAATTCACTGATTTGGACGCCGACATTTGTTTCCGACCAACGGTATTTGGCGTTGGCGATTTAAAGTTTTCAAGGTTACAACGAGAAAGGGTTAATTACAGTCAGAGCCCGGAAGTTTGCCCAATTGACAGACAGTTGGCCTCTTTTTGAACACTCACCCCTGTCAGAAATGGTAACCAAACAACCCCTAAAAATATGAAAAAAGACACTATTACCCTTCAATAAAATAATAATTCTTAAACTAAAATATCAAAATATTTATATGACCAAAATACCCCTCAGATTTTAACCATGTGTTTGGTGCTCCTTTCATCCTCACTTACCACAACCGATCCCCACAGACACAGCCACCACTACCGCCCACCTCTCAAACTCCTACCACCACCACCACGGGTATACACACAAAAAACACATATAAATATACTATGCTGGAACCTTACAGCCTCTGCCAACGTTTTCTGGATTTGTTTCTCTTCGGCTCCGATTTTCCCTGGAACCCTACAGCCTCTGCCAACGTTTTCTGGATTTGTTTCTCTTCGGCTCCGATTTTCCTTTGTTTTGTTCAAATTTGATAATATATATATATATATGTGTGTGTGTGTGTGTGAGTATATCTTGTTCTTTGATCTTCAATTCACAAAAAAACCCTTTTGTATGTGTTTATATATAATATAATTTGTAAAAAGTGTATGCATTCATTAAATCGAAGAAGAAAATAAATATATATATACATATAATTAGAAGAAGACAACACGATGGTAATCAGGTGATTGGATACATGAGATCTATGGAATTTATTTTCTAGAATATGGAATCAGTTATAGTTGCTGAGTATTGTGATCGTTGGAGACTCTATATTTTGTGGTGATGCACTGTTAATATAATAATATAGGATTAAAATTATAGTTACAAAGGATATTTAAGTTATTTAATGATTCAAATGTGGTTGTTGACGAGTCCAAAGTTATTTAGGTCATTTTATTAGGAAAAATTTAAAAATATTCTATTTAATTTTGTATAATTTAAAAAATGTTAACTTTTTCAAACTAATAGGTTTGACTACTGACTTCTTGAAACTAATTACAAAATTATACTAAAACATTATCTATATTTTTTTATGATCCAAAATACCCTCCTAGCATACATGACAATGCGGCTCCACTATAAGGATTTTTTTTTACGGATTTTAGCATTCCAAGTTTATCTCTTGCTCACAATCAGTTTTACATACAGAGCAAAAATGTTAATTATTTGCCAAACCACCATCATTCACAAGAGCACTCGGTAAGCCAACATCATGTAGAAATAACAGTGTTAAATTTCATTTGGTGAAGAATTTCATAATTTTGAAATAGGTGTGACAATTTTTTTATTTACCGGAAAAAATTCATAATTTTAGTTGCATCAGTTCTGAGAATGAATAAAATGTATTTATGGTGAAAGCATTAAACTGAACTGTAGATATAATAATAGTGGAAGGCGGCCTCCTATCATTTATTAAGGCAAGTTTTCTTCCCAATCTTCAGCCATTGGACATGTGGATCTGGAAAGTACTCATACAAAGAAAAGGTTTTTGCATTTAGACCATCACCAGAGTTATTTCTGGTCAGAAAAAGCATATGGTCATTACCCAGGATACTAGGCACGAGACAGATAGTTTTTTTTTTTTTTTTTTTTCCTTAAAATCACGCATTCACTTTGTAACACCGTGCGGGCTCAGGCCCAAAGCGGACAATATCATACCATGTGGTAGAGTGGGTTGTTACACACTTATACATTCCTTAAAGAATCAAACACAAAACAATTTCATTATAACATAAAAAAACAAGTGACTTACAAAAGAACGGTTTGATAATCAAATCATTTCATCACATTATAAAAACTGAAATTTAAGATAGACTTGTTCGAATAAAATCAAGCAAATGACAGTTCCAAGTTAGTATCCAGGAAGTGGATTTTTACACTTTCGACGGTTGTGTCCGGTTTGCATACAACGTGAACAATGAGTAACATTTTTTTCCTGAAATTGTGACTCAATGCGCTTTATACGGGGCCGTCCAACAGGACGTTGTTGAAGAGGAGGTTGAATAGACAAAGAATAAATTTCTTCAACACCTTCACTTGAACTTTGCAAATCCTTCCCTATTTCAGAAAGATGTGGAAGGTCGTGTGTTGCGATTGGAGACATCAAATTCTCCATTATTGCATGTTGTGTCTCAATCCTGAAGAATGGTTCCACAAACTCGTACATATTCAGAGAGCACTCTTGTATGGCACAACATGCATGTGCACATGGAATATTCATCATCGACCATTCTTTGTAGTTGCAATAATAACCTCCCTCGTCAAGAATAACCTCGAACATTCGATTCTTCCCATCATAAATTATGCATCGAGTAGAACTAGCTCTTAAACAACCAAATCCAATCCCTTTCACCATCTTCTGTTTTATTGTACACTTTGTATTCGGACCAACCGAAACATTCCACTTCTGAATCTCCATTTTATTTCAATATAAAAATTCAGTGAGTTGTTTAAAGTACTCTTCAACAAACCTGTTAATAGACAAAGGTCTCTCATTCTTCACCCATGCATTGAATGACTCAGCTTGGTTGGAGTAATATTTGTCCCAACGTTTTAATTGGAAGAATGCACTCAACCAATGTTCTGGAGAATGATTTAATACCCAATTATAAAGCTCGGATCGAAATGTATTCAATTTTCCTAACGCCTTCTTATACTCCTGTTGTGTCATTGCATAGGCAATTTTATCTAATAAAGACTTGGTTGTATCCTTCACACCACCTCTAATGTTGAGACTGCCCTTTCCATTAATGAATTCATGAAATTATCCTGTAAATGTCGCAAACACCAACTATAACAATGGGATCCAAAAACTTCTTTAACGCCGTTTGATAGGGAAAAATAAACCTATCTTGACCTAACGAGAGGCAACCAAGTGTTGACCAGCCGCCAGATCTTTTCGGTGATCAACGATAATATTTTATTATTAGAAACCTCCCTGCCAAATATAAACAGCATAAACATTTAAACTAGCTGTAATTGCTATATGTTGGGAAACATCAAATCCAAAACTTGACCACTAGTAGCAACATATTATGTACAGTTTGGCTTGTAAATGCATTGCATCTAATTTATCTGCATGATTGGATAAAAAATTGCTTTTGGATAATCTGATCTAGCATTTACAAAGTGGATGGATCAAGTAGCATCTAATCAGGTAAAAATAAATAAAAATGAATTTGTTAAGTATATTATGCACAATTATTGATCTAGCACTAGAAATGTAGAATAAGGAAACAGATCTTTATTAGACTCATTATACTACACAAGGTGCATGTACAACAGGGATGACGGCAGAAGGGAAAAACAAAAGGTAAAACCCACTTGTCCACTTCATGTTTCCAGTACATAAAGATATTGCGTTGCTGCAGTAGGGGAATTATCGTGATATTCAGCGTCTTGCGAAGCTTCCTCCAGATGCAGCAAGTATAGCAACAGCATGACATTATCAATGAATAAGCCATTAATTCATTACAGGCTTCTGCTGAAGCTGATGAACGTAGACAATAAATATTTGTGTAAGCTTTCAGATAGTACCAAAATCATGAATAAAATTTAAAAACTTTAGCAATGCTGCAGTTGAAGCTAAAGATGTGAGGAAACTGAAAAGTACAACACTACAAACCAATTATGATACAGCTCCCATTAAATTAGAATCCATTAAATCAGAACATCTACAAATATAAATTCCAATTTGAGCTCAAATTTTATTATTTTGGTTGGGAGAGAACAGATATTTAAAGCTGGCCGGGAATAGGAAATATTGGGTATGGCGCTAGACTTAGGAAATGGTTGCAAAACTCTCACTCTCCCATAGTTTTAGGAGCACTATGAGGGATTACATATGCTATCTCACAATCTTCCAACATGAAGGAAATTGGATCATTTACTCTCCTCTCAAAGAGGTTTCCTTCCCGAAAAACATCTGATAGTGTATGGCTCAATTAAGGTAGTTCAAGAAAGGTTGGGAAATTTACTTCACAAATTGATTAACCAATTCTACAAACAATCACCAATGACACACTGTTGGCAGGCAAGAACTTTCGAAGTTATTTTAATATAGATGTTTACAACTTCGTTCAACAATTTAAAGGACAACGCTTATTTCACTAAAAAAAGATTTCCCTTATTAGGTTGTTATTCCTAGCTTTGATTTTCACAGGAGATTTTTTTCTTACCAAAAAAAAAGGTCAATGTTTTTCAAGAAATTCTTCCGTAAAAAAATAATAACAATAGCAAAGAAGGTGAATATGTTCCATCTAGAAGAGGAGAAAAATATCCTAGAAAGATTTATGAAATATTATAAATATTTCCCCAAAAACTGTTGCAGCAAAGGCTGAAAACAGTTATGCAGCTTCTCTTCCAGACATATAAAAGAAAACCAATAGCATTTTAATATTTTCAATGGTTGAGTGCACATGGAGAGCTTTGAAATTCGAGAATATCTGGAAAAAGGAAAGAAAAAGGAAATTTTCTAATGAACATCCATCATACTCTAAATATGATGTAAAAATTCAACCACTGTTCATTTTTACATCATTGTCAAACAAACAAATGCTTCATCAGAGTCATCAACATAAGAACGTATTACACAGTATTTGAATTAGACAATATAGAGTATGTAACAATATACGGTACAACAACTCCCAAGTTTTATTAGCAGCTCACAAATAGACATTCGATACCAAAGTATGAACAAAACCAAAAAACTAATAACCAAGAGCGAGAATGCATAGATATGAAAGCATCGAGATATAACTCAATCACCCAGGCTCTAAATCTTATTAGATGAGAGGTAGAGTAGTTTTGAACAACAATTGGAGCTACTTACACATATGCCTGTTAGTCGCCACAGAAGCAATCTTCGAAAATGTGCCACAAGGATAGAAGAAAGTTTTTAAACCTGCAAAGTACAGATGAGATGCTTAGAACACAACCAAGTATATAGTAATTAACAGTATAGCATGCTTAGCATTTCAGTTACTCGACATAGCACTGTCTATTAACAGCAAATATTGGAAATATACAGAATAAAGGACAGCTGTTATCGG